AATACCCTTTTAGAGATTTTTGTGGTGCAAATTGCCATACAAGCAGGTAATTCTCGTTGTTCCCAGAAGATACACAGGCACCTGAACGTACTGAAAACTGAATGTAAAACTATAGCAAAGTATTGTTTTGACATATGGACTATTTATGGGTTTTTGTAACTTTGGAGGCACTCCTGCATGGTGGAAAACATTGCAAGATTCCAGCAATGATTTCAGGAGTTCCCGATAAAATCCATTGATTTTATGCATTGATTTGAAAACTCTCTTTTTGAAAAAAAAAAAAAAAAAGAAAACGAAAGTGATGTTTGCCATGGAAAACTCAGAATCAGAATTCAAACACTCTGCATATGAGTCTATTTGAAAAATTATTCACTGTGGATATAGCTGGAGCAAATATCTATTTAAATTGTTGAAATCACAGTGTAACCAGAAATGCTTACAACTTTGAAACTTCAGCTGGATATGACAAAGAAGTAATGAACTTACTGTCCCTTATTTGAACTCACCAGAATGCTCTGATATTATAGGAGTTTTGACAATACTTGGCACTGATCTGATGGGGTTAGTAAGGGTGTTGCTTATTTCCTTTTCTGGTAGCTGCTGGCTGGTTTTGGTATTGAGTGCAGCAGCAGCACCAAGGTTTGTTGCAAGTTATTGCTCTCCTTTGCACCATCTTTTGTACCTCAGTACAAAGTTGTACTGAGAGGGGACCCCTTTCCAGAAGTGTAAAGTGTATTTATTCAAATAAGTAAAATTCCAAGCCTCTCATACTGAAATTGCAAGGAACTAAAAACTCTAAGAAAATATTTATGTTTAGCTTGAGAACATCCTTTCCACTGCAAATATACTCTCACTGTAACATGCTTAGACCATTCTCAGTGCAGAAATAATTCAGAAAGATCTTGGGAACTCTCAACAAGATCACCATGTATTTGGCTCTTTCTTTCTTTATATTTTCAATTCTGCAATTGGACACAAGAGGATCTTTACAGCAGCAGTCCTCCTTACTTTGCACATTAAAATCCCTCACTGGAATTGACACTGGGAAACTTGCAGTGGGGTTATGGCCTTGTTCTTTCAATAAAAAATGTAATGCTAATTAAGTCGTTGTTTTTTATAAAATATTTTATTAAGAATAATAAGAGTAAACAAGGTTACAAAAATACCAACTTTATTAACTAATGAACATGTTAATTACAGAAGATTTGTATTACAAGTTATAACCAGAGTGTTCCCTTTTCATTAGGCATTCATCAAGTTGTACTTAATGGGAGCATTATTTTTCCTTCTTAAATAAGAAAAAATACTTTTATCATACATTGAACTCCACAGGCAGCTCCCTGAAGTTAGATCCCATGCAAGAAAATGCCGTACATAAGTGTCCAAGGGTAAAAAGGAACACTGGAAAATTTTAGGGTGAAAAGCCATGTCAGTTCCTGCCAGCAGCCCCAACATTCAAAAACAGTAATATACCAGTGCACATGAGGGAGGAAGAAAATAATTGGTAAGGAGACAAGGCTAAATAACCAACCCAATAGGCTTCCCACAGTCTCCATGGGGGTCAACTGGTTTACAACCAACTTTCCAGAAGGATGATAACAATACCTCAACTCCTGCTGAGGTTGCCTTGGAGCTGAGAATGGATCCACGTGGAAAAGCACTGAACAACTCTTAGGCCCTACTCTTTTGATAATCTCATTCACTGAATTCAAGGGAATTTTGCCTGAGTAGATTTTGACCCCCAGAAATTTATTTGGACCCTCATCTGAAAAGCTCTAACTCAAGTGAGTAGCTCTGTCAAGTACATTGGCATTACCTGCAGGAAGGGATTGCAGAATGCCTCAGAGAATTTTAAACTTAAACTAGAGAAAAAGATTTTAGCAGTAGCAGCAAAAATCTAGACCCAGCATATTCTCAATGAGAGCTGCATTTTTCTGAGGGTCATGAGGTTTATGAGAGAAAAAGAGATGGGGGGGAATTTTTTTAAAGGGAAGAATGTTTTCTTTAATAAAAGGAAGAAGCGTTAGCCAGTTCCAATGCCCAAAGAAAATAGTAATTAAGTTAAAATAACTTCAGTTGCACAAAATCACCTCTTAGGTTTTAATTCCATAATTTTATATCAGAAAATTACACCTTTCAGAGATTGAGGATTAGTTAAAGCAAGGAGAATGAGAATGAAATTCAATGGAGTTTAAGAATGTCCTTAGACAAGAATGTAAGTTCTGTACCCTTTATTCTAATCACATCTGTGAAGTAAAAATCACATCTATGTAGTAAAGTTCAGATCCCACTGAAGTTAGTAAAGGGCTTTTCAGCATTTAGATGGGCACTAGATCATGTTCCCTTGTTATAACAGCGAGAAAAAATATTAGAACAGTGAAAAAATATATCTAGAGTGTCCTTTCTTAAGAGAGTCCTGTAGTTATAACAGTTGCCTGCTACGGTACCATTGGTACCAACTAGAAATATTCACAGGAATAAATGAAGTACAGATTCATTACCACATATCATTATTCTTCTCTTCCCTTGCTCTTCAGGATCTCAGGTGCCCTCCATTCTGAGATAGGGAGAGCAAAAGTACCTGGTAAGCAAGTGCATACAAACTTGTTGAGTTCTGGAGCATCAACTCTGCACAATTTATTTTACTGAGGCACTGCCCAGAACAGGTAAAAATCCTTACACATTGTCTAAGAAAAAACAGTATTTTTTATCATATACATGTGTGTGTGTGAGATATATATATATATTTATATATATATAAAAATCACAATCTTCTGCACAGCAGAAGCTTTTAACTAATATATTTTAGGATTCAAATTTTCTAGATAGACATAACAAAATGCCTGCAAATATAATACAGTGAGCACATGGCAATTCTTCGAATACAAAGAGTGAACATGGAATTGTATATTTTATCCACATTCTACTTGTGGCTGAGAACAGAACTCACTTGGAGTTTTTTAAAAGTCTTTCTTAAAATTGTAATCCTTTCAACAAGATATGGTCAGTACATAATTAGCACAAATACACTCTTCACCTACATGACAATAATTAAGCGTAAATACAACAGGCTAAATCCTGCCCTCTTTAGGCCTGGTAAGTAAGAGAGGCTAAAGGGAGCATGAAGCCTTCAGAGGTGGCCAGAATAGATTGAGACAGACTGTCTGCATAGCATCCACAACCTTGAATCTGCTGTACAGAGAAGTCGCATCTTGTCCAAAGAGACTATTTACATCAGGAGGAATTTCAGAAGCTCTGCTTGATGAAACACTTCTTCCTATGTGCCAGAAGAATCCGCTGGATATGTGACACAGCAAGCCAAGCCTCTTAAGCAGGGGCTGAAATTCATCCCAGCTCACCAGATGTAAGCATACTGAGTCCCACTGAAGTCAAAGTGCATTGCTGAAGAAAATTTCGTGAGTCAAGACGAGGCCTGTCTCCCAAGACATCTCCCCTGAAGTGTTTGTTTTCTGACAGGGCAGAATTCAACCTTGCATCTTCTGCATGAAATGTCCTTTTGTATATCTACACCACGGTCTCAGTCTCGTGGCTCTGAAGTTACATATGATACACAGGCCAAACACTACTGGAAACATTTACAATTTACACAGTCACAAGTGAAGCAACAGTGCAGTTATTTATGCAATTACATGTACAGTAGTAAAACTAACAATTGGATATATGTCATATCAACTTTCCAGAAATTAAAGGGTAATCAGTGCCACCTATGCCAACATATTTGTACAAAATTTCCAGATACAAAACTAAATGCCTACAGAAGAACTAACACTTTTCATAGATGATGATTTTTGTGTTCCCTTTCCCTATCAGCATAAAGGAAAATGATTGTCCCGTATGTAGACAGGAAAAAAGCAATTAAACTATTGGTGATGTTGTCCATATTAAATACAAGATCATATCAATCTCTGCAATCATTTTATTATCTTGAAAGGAATTATACAAAAGATAGAATTTTGTCCAAATCTAGTTAAGGTTTTATTAAAATTCTCAAGTTTCTGAAAAACTATTAATGTATAACTTACTTTTCCCCATCTTAAGTCTCTCAGCCAGGTGCTAGATTCAACTGTTCTTTTTCTTGCTGTAAATGCAGAGTTTCATGAAATAGCTAGATCTAACCAAACCTTTAATACTTGTCTGTTTAGAAAGATTTGGGCATATTTGATTTAAATTTCTTTTAACACCCAAAGTCTTCCAATACCTAATCAGGATTACTTTTTCAAACTATATGAGATGCAGTCTTTAGCATTGCAAATCCACAGTTATTTCTGAGTCAGATTGTAAAGAAATGATCAATCGTTTGCTACACCAAAATGGGGTTTGAGATATCTGTTAGAGGACCATATATACAGTGAAGGAACCAAGTGCAGAACTAGAATCTGTAAGCATTGTGTAAAAGAAAGTGGTAGTGACTTCTACGAGAACTCTGCTTATGGCAGGCTTGTCAAAGTCCATCAATAATGAAAATATTGCTTACTAAAGATATTATTTTTTTAATAAAGTACTGAAATCTTTGACCTCTTATAAGGGGGAAAGAGAAATATGATCATAAATGCTGTCCGGACAGATGCATATATTTCTCAGTAGGGCTTTTGTTATATATGAAGAGAAATATATGGCTCATAGAAAGAATAAGAAGTGTTAAGTAGAACTATAATTTGTTTCTCCTAAGATAATCTGAAGAGCAGCATCAAGGAGGTCATATGATCTATTTCTACAAAACCATTTATCATCCAGTAATGTCTTTGCAAAATTGTTTATCCATTCAAGTATCTTCAGGAGATATGTCACCATACTTGCATATATTGTAAGTCACTCCAACATTTATAAAACAACACTGATAGACAAAAACACCAAAAACACCCATAAATATTAAAAGAAGCTCTACAAACTTGACTATCAAGTACTTAAAAAATTGTTGATCTTTACATTACACATTAATTACAGGCTGTCCAGAATCTTTCAATGGGACTTGACTTTTTTCAGGGTTTTCTGTAGGTCATCATAATCTTGTGAATCCACCGGGAATAATATGAGACCCGAATGAAAATCCCAGGACGATTTCGAATGGCACATCCACGGCCAGGAACAATGACACCAATTACTATCTTCAGCCTGTTTTGTTCACAAACCAAAGGACCACCATAATCTCGCTAGGAAAAAAATAAACATGAGTGTCACTTCTCAAAATGCTTCAAGACACAGCTCCCACTTCTCTACTACTGAATGATTTCTTTTGGGGATGACAAGATGCACCAGGCAATAGTGTTCTTGCCATAGGTCATAAACCAACTTCCAATATCTTTTTTTTTTCATAACCAGAACTTGGGACAAACAATGTCAGAATTGGCCTCTGACCTTTTGTTCCTTCTGTGCAAATTAAGCTCTGTGGTACATCTCTACATGTCATTCTAATGACTTCAGACCACCAGATTTTCTTCACCTCTTTCAGCTACCTGCAAGCCTAATATTTTTTATGTGAATATAAACCAGATGACAGAATGTGAGTCAACAGATAAACATCTTTGTTATGATGACAGGGTTTGCATCAAACACTACTGACAAAGTCAGGTTAGCGTCTTTCTTTCAGTCAATCATCTTGCATGCCCTAGGATGAGAATCTGTATGTACTAATAGGCAGAGGAAATACCAAACATAATAAAAAGCTAATACTTTTTAAAGCATTATTTTGAGACATAACTTGTTAAAGTGATATTTTCTGTTATTCCGAATGAATGAGACACCTATATAGTAGTTTATTTCATTCATTTATTAGCATTCATTTATTAGCATTCTGTGAAAATTTGAATATGACTCACCAAGATCAGACTTAGATAAAATCACACAGATCTGGGTCTTGAACACAGATGCTGCAGTTTCTACCCAGGCTAAAGGTAGACTGAATCCTGCAAACTCGATGCAAAACTAGAGCAAATTCTCATATCAGAGAGTGAGTTATTGTTTCAAAAAATGAAAGCTGACAATTAGCATTGCATTCTCTCTGGATCACCAGAGAAACAACAATGCTTGACCTTTATTTGGTTTGGGATTTTTTCTGACTGACGGCAGACTAGTTCCCACATGAACAATGAACTATGTCAGAGCCATCAGAGCTGCTCATAAAACACTTTCAGGACTGGAGTTTCACCTGCCAATCTGATTTTGTTCCTCTGCCTGTTCTCTGCTGAGGAAAGTAGCTTCAAAGGAGAACTTAGGGAGTAGGAAACTGCTCAGTGATTAAGACTGATTGCTAATATTAATTCATTCCATTTCTTCTTGCAAGGGAAAACAAAGTGCAGGATCCCCAGCAGACTCCCATGCAGATGTTTCATTTATAAGCCTTGACAAGTCTAAGACCTCATTTACAATTAAACATTTTATTTTGAAGAAAATACTTTGCAACAAAAAATGATCCCACAGATTATTAACAACAAATGGAAGAGGCCTCAGCTTTATGAAGATGACCTCTGTTCCCCATGGTTTGGTAGTACCCTTGGGTAGGGAAAATTTTACTATACGGTTAACGTCGGTATTAGGAAATCAACAATCCTATTTCAGATAATAAATACTTAATAATGTTCATGACTTCCCTCCTTCTAGATATCTGCAATCAGATTTTCCATGAAAAAAATAATTATATCTTCCTGTAATAAATTATTTAAAGCTTTTCTCCTCAGATGTCTTTTCTCCATCATCAAAACTAATGCTAAGCAAGGAACTGTACCATACTACATGATCACTGAAGTTGTTCTCCTGTCCTCTTCAATATGTTGCTCAGGCTCAGGAGACCAAAATGCTCCAGCCTTCTGACTCATAAAAACCTCAGTACATTTTTGGATCATTCTCCTTCCTTCATAACTTTATCACCTCTGTTGAGTACTGACTGTTATGTATTTTGCAAGCAACACCTCATCTAAATAAGCAGGTAAATTTGGTCCAGCCTTTGATTTCTACTCAATCAAAACATACAGGTATTGCTACCACAGAGCCCACCTTTGTCTTTAGTATACAGAACACAAGTTTATCTCAGTCTAGTGAAGCGTTTTAGTATTTGAATATATATAAGATTGCTGTACATCTTCCAATTGTGTGGTAGCACAGTGAAATCAAAGCAATTTCTGCACTCTTGACACAAAATACCAACTTGTAACACAAATAATTTTCCAATGCAAAAATTTAGTGCAATGAGAATAATTTTAAAAAACCTCCAGTATCTTTTTTTGTTGGTTTTTTTTTTTTGGGGGGGGGAAGAAATAGCCAATGAAAAATGTATTAGGAAATGCAATATTTACCTCACAAGGGCCGGCACCTACAGTTTCAGCCACAGCACAGATTTCAGACTCATTCACAGTAATCTTCCCTTTGAGATATTGGTTGCATTTCTCATTTCCCAAAATAAACAGGTTTGCTACTTGGAGAAGGCCATCATAGTTAACTACTACAATTGAAAAGAAAATAAAAAAAAATTATTGCATTTTAGGGGGAAAAAAGTGTTTAAAGATACAGACTACATGAACTTATTAATGTCATTTTAGTTATTGTACTTTCTCTCTAAAACTCATGTTTTTGTCTATCCCCACTGTTATCATGTTTCTGTATTTTGGATTTCTTGTATTTTCTGAAAATGAGATTTGCCAGACATTTGTTCGGTTTTCATGTCTGTTCAACTCTCTGAGAATATCTGGATAAGTTTTTTAGTATTAGAATAAAGGGCTCTGTAACTGGTCTTACTCTACAGCTCACCACCAGAGTGCCCAGTCATCAAAGAAATCAGAAAAAGAGCCTGAAAATGTTATCACCCCCATCAGTGGAGGGAGGATCCTGCTCCCTGCCTTAAACATGAGTTAATGCGCAACAGTGCCTGCCATGGCCTAGGGAAGGACGTGTGACTTGAAAAATACTGTAGCAGAGTGGAGTTTTTCTCAATCTGTGCTGGCTCAGCTACCCTGAATGACTTTGTGCCTGCAAGGGCACAGCCACAGTCTTGTGCAATCTCCATTCATCAGTGTGAAGGTCAGGAAGCAGGAGCCCTGTGGAGCTTACTCTTGTTCTACATGTCGAAAGACAAGCCTGTACAAGCTGCAAAGATAAATAAAGGATCTGGACCTGCCCATTCTCTGCACAGCTATCAAAAGAAAATGCCAAGCTTGCCCTCCACTGACTTATTATCCTGGTTTCTTAAAAAAATGGATGTAACACTTCTTCATTCCCTGACTGGGATTCTGCAAGGATTATATAAAGTAGTGCAAAAAATATAGTACAAAGTCCTTGGATGACAGATGTTATGTATTTACTGTATTACATAACTCCACAACATTGCAAATTCCTTATCAGTTCTCTTAAGCTAAGCTTTCCTGTGATGCTGTGCTGTGCTCCAGCCTGATGTCCCTGTCCCCCAGACAGCCGATGCCCCAGAGGATGGCTAATATGGACATGCTGGGAACATCAAAGGCAGTCATTTGGGAGAGGGCTGGTACAGATTAATTGCCACCCACAAAGAAATGGCAGAGTAGTGGCCACGAGGAAGACAGCTTCAGAATTCCAGCCTAGCTTCTGCTCTGCTTCCAGGACAGTGTGAGTATATTGCTGCTGCTTACTCAGGGTCTGTGGCAAAACAACATTTGAGCACAGTAAATATTGGAGTAATTATTGTCAACTGGCAGCTATTAACTTTTTATCAACACATAATTAGCCAGATATAGCATTTACTAGACTAAATAAATGTCTGTTCTCCCACATATTTGTATTTTCTTCACACAAAACTGTGTTTAATAAACATTAGAAAGGTTGCAAAGTCAAGTACTCAAAAGTTAGGAAATGCCAGACTTAGGGTTGCCTGTGTGTCCCTAGTTCGCTGTTATTGTGTATATTAATAAAGTCTTTGATTACATGTTTTTGTATTAGTTTTTCCACAGGGTCCTGCTTTGGATTACAGAAAGAGACTGCTCAAGTAGATGAACAAAGATTTGTCAAAAAACCCTGTTAACATTTGGCAGAGAAATTTTGCTATTTTTTTTTAACATGTAGATTGGTATTTTTCTCTAATTCACTCCTCAAAATGTTAGAATCATTTTGCCTGTCCCTGAAACAACAACAAAAAAGGAGAGACTAGTGGAAAATATTTCATATTAAATTAAATTGAATAAAAGGATCAGAGATTTACAAAGTTAGAAAAAAAAAACAACTCTATTTTTTAACAAGAAGTGTTGGACAACCGTGGCATCAGGCCATACCCGCAGCCTCACCTATAATGACAAGAGGAAGTAAGTTGTCAACGTATTCATTTAGTTTTTAAAAATAGTTTCTTACATCCAGTGTATCCCCATCCATAAACACTGCAGCTGGTCTTCTCTGGAATGGTACATCCAGAAATGGGCAATCGGATTATTTCTACAAAATTTGTCAATATAGCAGGTCTGAAAATAAGACAAAAAAAATAGATATAATGGATTTTACTTAACCTTCTCAACTGTGTTTTTAAAATTACATTAAGTCTATTATAGACCACAGCAATTTAAAACTATGCCAATTCTTTTCCTTTCATTTTCTGTTTCTGAAGAATATGATGGATTCTTCTACTTATTTTTTGTACTATGGCTGCCAACTGTCAAAAACTTCTTGAAATGCTGTCACCATTTTTATGCTATTTAACTTGGGTTTTAATCTTAACAGTAAGTAGCGATGGCATTTCATTTGGATATATAGGTTTATTCATACGGAGAAATTTTGAAAGGTTGTATATACACAAGGATCTCAGCTACAATCTGGTGCTTATTCTGTAAATTAAAACCATATACTAGTCCATGTGGGTACTTAGTGGGTTTTCTTTAAATCTCCCAACAAACCTAAACATGGTTAACAGGGAGAATAATGTAGGTATGATTTCACAGGAGTAACATCTGTTTTCTGAGTAACATCGATGGACCTGCATGGACCTGCATGTATCAAATAAAATTTCATTCAGTTGGAAGTTTACCCTATGGAGATAGCATCTGTAGTACTGGAGATAGTAGAGCAATGAACTTGCAAATCTCATTTAGGAAGAATCTCACCCAGCAGATGAAAGTGAAAAGATGAAAATTCACAATAACAGTTACTAACCTGCTGAGTTTCAGTAACACCAAATCTGACCCTGCAGGGCCGTATACCAACTGGGAGATATTCCGGACTTGTTTGCGCTTCTCCTCTCCCTTTCCTTTGATATTATGGACTCCAAGCCAGGCTTTGTAGTCTTTCAAATCTTTGTACCTAAATGAGGCAAAGTTGGTTATGATTTTGCTGACTGTATAATAAAATAACTAAAAAACTCTGCTTAATAAGATTATGCTGGAAGATCTTAACTAATGCTCCTTTGCAGAAATGGCTTCATGCTGCCAACTGCTATTCCAAAATCAACATGCCTTGGATGTAAGGTTTTGGCCTGAAGCCATTACATAATTTTATCTTTAACTGTTACTAAAACCATTTTTTTTCATAACAGTATCCAAACATTTAAATCCTTGGACAGTATGAACCTTTGAACTTTTTTAGATTTACCCAAGTTTTCTATTTTATTTTGTCCATTTAAGCAGAAGCATGAGATTATTCTCATAAAGAGGCAATTGTCTAACCATGACACTTGGAAAATCTATGTTTGCTTCTATGTAAAATAGCCAGGGTATTTAGATTTACAGCAATAATAACAGAAAATAGCAAGGTCCCACAGGCCTTTTATATCAGAAAAGCAGTGTTAAAGCCAAACAGGAGGAAAAACTGCTGTATTCAAGTCGAAGAAGCATTGTGCTGATAAGTTCCCGAAAATAGATGGATTTTGATATTGCAAAGTTCCAGACTACTGTACCGAGAAGGGAAACACTGCCTTGCTGTAAGAACCCACTCTTCTTTTATCAAAGTACCACCACAGATATGCTTATTCCTGGAGGAAAAAAAGAAAAGGAAAAAGATTTAAAAAAATTAACACCCAAACCCATTAATATTAGTTTTTACATAGTCAAAAAGTTTAAAGAATGTTTTGCTCCCCACACATTTGCTGGTGAAAAGTGGCAGACTGAAAACATTCAAAAACTTGTCTCTGGCTCTTTGATTTACAGTTTCAACACTTGCAGTAAGATGACTTTGCAGAGCTTTACTTCAATGTGCAAAAAACCAGAAAGAAAGACAAATTCAGTTACCCTGTTCATTTAAGCTGAATTTGTAATAAGCCACCTAATTTAAAATTAAAAAAAAAAAAAAGAAAAAAAAAAAAAAAAAGGCTCAATTCTTTGTAACAGGAACTGGATTGAAACTTTCAAGCAAGTCCCCAAACTTCCACCAGATGTAAACAACATTTGGTCATTATTCATGGAAGTATTATTCAAAGCATTGACCTCAAGGTGCAGAGTTCCTATTTGATTACAAGCCCTAGGAGATTTGTGTCCCCACATACTTCAGTTGGAAACAATCTGCAGTGTATGACATCCTACATGTGATTATAGAAAACCTGAAGCATAATATATCAAGTCAAATTAAAGCAATTAAGCATGACAGTTCTTTAAAAAAATTACTGCGGAATGTAGATTAATTAGTTTCCTTCTTTGTGCCTCCAAAATCACATTTATTTTCTGTAGCTCTTTGGAAAGTGAATCAGAATTGTCAGCAATTTGGGAAAAGCTTAAAATCTCACAATTTATAAATTCAAATCACACAAATGTTCAAAGCTTTGCAAAGAACTACTGGATGGATACCAGACTATATATGGAGTTCACAGACAGCAGGATAAGACAGAGCTTTGACTTTTTTTTTAATCATGTTTTGTTTGAGGAGTAAAATATCTGGTCCAAAAGGCTGGAGTCTTTTAAAATGTAGGTTCTAGCTTGTTTTATTATAAAGATATGACAGTCAGGAGTATAGCTATGTTTTTCAATGTTAAGTTTGCATCACTTATTGTTTTATAAAGAATTTCATCATCTGTGTTAGAAGATTCATTAGTACACATAGAAAGGCTAATTCCTCACTAAAATATGGGGCAAATTTTGATCTGGTTCCATGAAGCTGATGAAATCCATTTAAATACACTCAAATACATTTGATTACAGAATCTGAATTGGATATACAAGAAAATTTCATTGATCAATTTAAGATTTAGAGGTGGGCTTTGGTTACCAAATATGAATAGTTTCTAAGTTTCACTGGACATTCACCATTACAGCAATTCCATTTTGGAGTGTACAGTTAGGCTTTCTTGCAGAAAGATCAGATGTCATCAAGATTTTGTTTCAGACAATAGTCTATTTGCTTCCTTGGTAACAATACAAAATAAAACTACATTTTTATGCCCACATGTAATACTTCAAGATATATTTTGTTGCTGGAGTATTCCAGGAATCCTTTATTCATAAAAGGATCTGCAATCATTTAAGCACTCATGTTTCATGGAATTATATTGCATAGCAGAAAATCCAGGTTGAACTACCTTAACAATAGCTATTTCAATTTTAGACACCCAGATGTAATTCACCTTACCTGGCTAAAACTTCATCAACTATCAAGGCTACTTTTAAAACAGTGCCAAAGATTAACTTTTCCAGGGAGTGATTTAGCCCAGCTATCTGGTTACTTGTCAAGGAATATAGTGATCTTCCTCTAGGAATGTCTTTCTGAACCGCCCTATACACTCCCAGAAAGGTTGAGATCTGATGTGCCAAGGTTACAGGGATGGGTAGAACCCCCCCCCCCCCCCCCCCCGAATTTCTCTATGAAGAGATGTAGAGATGTAGAGAATGAAGAGATGTAGAGAATGTATTTTTTATCTTTTCCTCTACTTCCATTTTTCATTTAATACCTCTTTTACAACATAGTTTTAAATGAGATGATGAATCATAAGCTAATAGAATTGAGCTTCCCTTCAGTCTGGCCCAGCAGACAAAAGAAGTTTTTTTTCACTTTTTTTTTTCATGATAGAAGAACCAGTGCTGATGCATGAGATATATCCTGTAATAAATTAATGATTCACACTTCCAGCTGATGAGTTATGAACCACAGTAAAGAGCATAGGAAACAGCCATTCTGTGTTCTGGCTTTTATACAGCAGCAAAGATCTACCATTATATACTACATGTGTTATACACAAGTTGTACATGTCAGGGTCTTGTTTTACAGAATGAAAAGGATTTCCTTATAGCTCCTACTTATTTATTTAATTTTTTAAAATACCAAATAAATTTTAATTCCATGCAATGACATAGCATAGGGAAAAGCTTCATTTGACTCAGGTATAAATCCTGAATCCTATGCTTCACAAATAATATGCCATCAAAGTGAAAATATTGATCTGAAATTAAATTATTTTCTATCAGTCTCTAAAATAGCCAGTTTCATGCTGAATGTGAAACCAGTATTATGAAAGGCCTGCAGTAGCTAAGCAGAAGAACAGAAACTATGAATGCTTTTCAAGTTCATGTGTATAATTTGCTATAATGAACATATAAAGTATTTCACTAGCAGTGTGAATACTATGGCATCACCTGACATCAGAGGAATGCTGATTCTCTGCTTTTACTGAACTTAACTGCAATGTAGAAATATTCTTTTATTGTTATTATGGTCAACATTTTCCACAATTCTAAAACAAATATCGTAGTAGTTGTATTGCCCTTCTAATCAAAGCGATAGTTACCTGTACGTCAAACTAACCACCCATCCTTCGTTAGTTTGTGTTGGGATTCCATTTACAACTCTCAAATGTTTTGTTGAGGCACAAGGAATGGCAGTATCTGAAAGCAGGTCCAGAGATCACATTTTACTAAAAGCAGTGGTAGGAAACCTGCACAGTTGCACATAAGGACCCCAAGAAGGTCAATATTTATTATGTATTAACTTGCCTGTGCTAATGAAATATATTTCTAGGCCATCAAAACTACTTCAGTGAAGCTGAGTAGGTCTATTTAAATATCCATGGGGAATATAAAATACATAAATTTAAATAGGTTTTTGAGATTTACATAGTTAAAAAGAAAACATTGAAGCTCATTACCAAATCTCACCACTGGCAAGACATGACAGTGAGAATAGATAAAGGAGTATAACAAAGCTATTCCTCATTTGTCTCTTGTAAAATTAATTTTTCTCAGTCTGTATGGTGGGTTTTTTGTAACTTTATTAATCTTTATTTTGTTTCCCAATTGGAAAGAAATGTCTAGATTTAGAGGATAGTCATGCACTGCACAGTTCATACACAAACTTACCATCCAAGTTGGTTGTAGTAGGAGTTGTATCACCTTCACCTAGACAGACACACAAGATAGCCATAATGCAAAATTAAAATACATTTAAAAATGGAATAAACTTCAACAGCAAATTACATACTGTTAACTTTAATCGTTCACAGAGTTTTAGTCTTCAATGATTTTTTCAGTACACTACAAAAGCAGCATTCAGTAAGGCTTAACAAGGGGGCAAAATTTTATTCCAATAGAATAAAACAAGAAAGAAACCTTTTGGAGCAGGGATATCAAGCATTTTTCTTCTTGGCTGAATCCTGAAGACATCAGGCTGCCTATCATGTTCAATTTACATGTTTCATTCAAACAAGCACATGCTGAAAAATGAAGTTATCACTTTTATATAAGCTTTCAGGAACTATAGAAATCATGTGATTAAATCCAAAGAAGACTGAAAGAAATTCTCAATTCCTTAAAAAACTTTGAAAGACATTTTAGGTTCCTGTCAGCAAAAACTTATTCTTATCAAAACATGATTCCCAAAATCTGGTTCAGTACTTCCATCTAGTCCAATTAAAAAAAATAGTTACAACAAGTTTGCTTAAACTTGTTTCTAAATGTTTCCCTTCAGGGACACATACAGAGTGGCCCAGTATTATGAGCTAGAGGTATAGGGGTAGCTGCTGAAAACTTGCACAAAGAAAATTTAAACAGTCTCATAGAACTAGATTTCCATCATTAAGAAAATATGTGTGTATATATAGATACACACACACACATAGGTATATTCGTATGTATAGATACAGTTATATCCATAGCAAAATTTCTATGTGCATGTATACACACATGCATATATGTATGTGTATATATGTATGCATATGTGTGCATACATACATGTGTTTCTATGTATAACTGTATGTATGTGCATCTATATTTATACACTATTGTAATACTAGTCCATATGAGTTGCAATTGTTAAACTGGCATATTCCCACTCTGGTGTTTGATTGCAGAAATGTACTACTCAGCAGTTCTGGATACCCTACAAATATTTGCTGAGAATACATCCTTAGGAATTCATAGATCCAAATAATGAACTCAGAGTAAGTGAATAAAAAGTATATTTCTTCAGCTATTCGTCATTTATATTGACACAAATAACCTTTTACACAGTTTTGTTTACTCTTCACATAGATGCCAAAATATCACCTGAGACTTCAAATACCACTTTTTAGAGATGCTGGAGTTCAGGCTATGAGGAAATGCAGTAGAGGAAATGCAGTAGATTGCCTCTAGGAATGAGTGTAACATTATCCTTAACCTCTAGAGATCACAGATATGCATTCAAAAGCCTGATTTACCATTTAAGTGTTCTCCCAGGACATACCACAGAATAACTTAGAAATAAAAATTGAAGGGAAAGGTTTTGAACATAAATTTGAATTGCATATTTTTCAGCATAAAACTATCTTTTCTACTTGTCATCAATTTATTGCTGAATTCCCTAGGATTCTTAATTCTGTTTATTTAAGCTATTTAGATTTAAACATTCAACTTTGGAGGCATGATTTTCCTAATTCTTGCCAGTAGTTAAATCATCCCATAAACATCCAAAAGCAGAATCTAATCTCTATAGCACATATACACTTCAGCATATATATAGTGAGTTATTCTAACATTACAAAGACAGATCACACAAAGAGTCTCTGAAGCTTGAAGCCCAGAAGATAACTCTGCCTGGGTTTCTTGAGGCCACAGCCAGCATTCTGACCACTAGACAATTCTTTGTCTCCATCCAGCCCTCATTCAATAGCTAGATCTGTTGGAAAATGTTTGACCATCTGTAATAGCCCCTTTGTGCTCCTGCTGCATAAATAAGTCTTGAAATCTCCAAGCTGGTCAAGGAAAAGAACCCCTTGTTCATATATTGCACAAGCAGCTTCTGTCTGCTCCTTCTCAGTCACGCACAATTGATTCTTGATAGAATCACACATTTTCTGCAGCCACAAGTGACAATAGGAAGGTGTGCACAGGAGTGTGACACCGTGGCTTCGCTGGGACTGCACAGCTGACAGTGCCAGCGGCGTGCCAAGTACTCACATCGAGAAATAGGGCAGTAATCCCAGGGCACAAGAGGATCATCTGTGTAACACCAGGGACCATGAAAATCATCATCTGGATTGCGGCAATAGTTTTTCTTCAGTTTACTAACATCTGGTTCTCTGAATATTTGTATATGCCTACAGGGGAAAAAAAATTCAAAGTGTTGAAAAGCTTTATTCTATAGCCCAAATTTTCAAAGGTTAAATGTTGCTTTGCTCCACACTGTATTATTAGCTGATTGAGAAGCCTACAGGTCAGGGTTTAGGGTTGGTTAAAATCAAAGGAAAGATGAGACCCAAATATTTTATGGATCTCGGTCCAACTTTCCTCTGGTTGGTATTTTAAGCACTGTGTCCACTGGACAGCTGGGAGACTTCTAGATCTCCCAGTCAAGCTAAAATCTCTAGATATCCTCAGGAGGGATCATTATACTGATTAGAAGAGTGCCTGTGATGCCCTCAGAAAATCTGCAGGCCCCTTTGGAGAGCAGAGGTTCCTTCTCCTGCAGGTTAACAGCACAAGGGAGCATCGAATCTACAAAGCTGAATCAAAGGTAAAAGAAAGACAAACTAAGAAAGTTAGCAAGGCTGAGCATCAGGCAAGGAGAAAGATGAATGGCTCAGACAAACTGCAGTGATAGCTGCAAGCCTACATGAAGCACTGTAGAGGTGAAATTTTGAGGCCAAAATATGAAGCAGAGGAAGAAGTTTATTTTTGGCTTGTCAGATACAAGGATACAGGCTTCTTTAGTTACAGCTGCACTGCTCCTTCAGCTCATAACCAACCACTCATGCTGCCTCCAGAACACCCATAACCAATGAAACTGTTGGAGTGAGACAGATAACTCCTCAAAGAAGTTCCCAGATGGAAAATAAGTGAGGGAGTAAGAAAAAAAAAAAGGCTGAACTGTGCTCTATTATATGAATGCCATTGCATCAAGCATCCAGTAGGTTTATACTGCCTCAGTCACAGCAAACCAAGATTTATCATGCTTCTCAGACAGCATGAGCTTAAACCTCTGCTTCCCTTCCATGGGCAGCACACTGGAATATGTATCCTCTCTCTCACCATCTGAGGGAAGAAACACATGTAGTCCAGCTGATGATACCAGACAGGGCCACTGAAGTCTGCTTTTTGCAATACAGTTCCCCAGAAGGCTGACTTCCTGACCTACACAGTCCTTCCAAAGGACAATGGCTTATATATTCAGCACTGTGGCTCTACAACAAGTACCAGAGCTAATATTGACACATTTGCATCAGCTACAGAAACTAAAAGAAAATTAAGGAGAAACTATTTTCATCACAGCCACTAGTGTGTGTGATATCTCATACACAGCAAAACAGTTTATAAATCCCTTATGTTATGTATAGTCCTGATAATTCATTTTACTTCAACAAATAAATTAATTTGCTTTTCTACTACTTGAATATGGAGCCAAAGTAATGACAAACTACAGAAATTGCAGGTCTTTTTATTGGCATTTGATGTCAGTGCCACTAGATTGTAGACTAAAGAGTCAGTTTCAGGCTGCAAGGGAAATTAGGTGGTTTCAAGTCCAATCTCCTCCTTGAAGCAGCATGAGGTATGAGATGAGGCTGATGAGAGAACCATTTCCTCTTCTTTCTGATATCATCTCATTGTAGCAAACTTTCAAGGACGAGGATGGGGTAAAATAGGCCAGTAAACTAAACACTAAGAAACATCCCACAGCCTGCAATTACTGGTTAGCCTGAAAAAAGTAATGTTGTGCAATATATTTGAACACAAAGAAAAGAAAAAAAAAAGGTTAGGAAAACAAAGATATTAAAAGCTCCAGGACATAAGGGGCTACTTTAGAATCAATGCAGATGAAAAAGAGTTCCCATCTGGAGGCTGTATTTATTCAGGACTCACTGAACCATCTCTTTCTGTTTAATATGTACACACCTACGTAAGTCTTCAATATTTTTGTCCCATGTGGAGCAAGTTAGCCCAAATCTTGTCTTGGATAGATTCCCCATGTAACTCTTGCCATTGCCACGATAACAATCTGAAAAAAAGAATGATGAGACAAAAAAGTGGAGGATGATTGTACAACATTAAGAAGAAAACCCTTCCTTTCCATCAGTAATCCAAATTATTAAAGACAAGTGTTCTTTTAAGCAAATGCTATAGACTATTAATAAGATAATTGCATAAATCAGATCAGAAACAAAAATGGAAAACAGTTTTCAAATTTACATACATAATCTGCTGTTTGAGACCTTCATTCTCAACACAGCATTATTTTAAATTTTGTCTTATTTACACGGACTTGAAAAATTTATTTCATAAATAGTTGGTTTATGATTAATTTAGAAGGGTCATACAGAATATCCTAAAAGTTGTCAGAAGCTAGTTTATACAAAACCAAGAAAAAATGGTCCCCTATTCCTCTCTCCACAAAAAATAGGCATTTGGTTTAGCTTTGTGTAGTTTTCAGATATTGGCAACAGTATATAATTCTAGACTTAAGTACTTTAACAAAATCAAAAAATCATCTTGACTTTAATTTTAATGTAATTCAAAAACTTCCCTGTTCGCTCCAGCAGAAGTCATGTTTAATTCATAAGCCTTTTTGAGACTTTTCAAGAGAATTGTTTAAAATTATCAGTACTATAAAGACATTTTGCATAAAGCACTTAATTTCATATTCATCAGTATTTTTACTTTCTGATAATTGATACTTTAGAAGAAACACAGAATGAATGTAAAAGTTTAATCTTTTCTCTGACATAAGTCTTGCAACTGCAACTTTTATTAATTTACTGTAACATTGGCTAAAATTTAAAGACAGAGATGTTAATGCAGCCTGATGTAGGGTTATAGGTCTGAGGACTTCGCCTCAGTTTATGCTGTGATTGACATCCATTCAGGATGCAACGTTAGTCCTTACAGTAATACCAAAACCTCACGGGAAAAACATTTGCCTGAAGACTCAGAATGAACCTCACAGGCAGCGGCAGGTAAGAACTCAGAGGACCAATCCCTTCTAGATGAGGAGGTATTTGCAAGAAAATAAAAGGGGAAAACAATAACTTTTTGGTAGCCTGATATGCAATTACAAAAAGACTGTGAAGCAAGGAAATAATTTCAGCTGTGGAAAAAGGCCTTTTAAACTAAGAAAGGTGAAGACAGTAGAGCAGATATATGATATCTGCTAAGAAAGGTAAAGACAGTAGAGCAGATACAGATAGACCTTGTCTAAAAATCAGGTCCAATAAAATCTTTCCCACTGCTTTCCAAATTTTTGGAATTACAAATTAAACTGAGAAAGGAATCTCATTTACACCACAATGAACCCCAAGCATGCCAACAAAGCCAAAGCAGAACTACTTAGGTGTAATACAGACACAACTTCTCCAGTTTTCAAGGCTGTCTACTTGAAATTTGGAACAGTATGACATTCACTTAAAATCATGTTATCACTCTTTCCTCTGTTACCTTGTTCATTTGATACATCACACTTAGGAATCTGGGAGCAATAACCAATACGGATGTTTGGGTCAGTGGTAAAGCACCAGGGTGATTCAGATCCATCTGGATTTCGGCAGTAGTTCTCCCTCAAATCCCTGTAAAAATAAATATGTTAGCTCTCAGCAGGGATAACCTAAACCCACCAATGTGGTCCATTGTTTTTTGTCATGAATTAACAAAAATACAGGCTCATTCAGGTCTCTGTATTAACGATCAGTGTCAAGTGCAAGGAGATGAGGAGCCAGTAAGAACGCAATAGGAATATGTTTGTGGAAATTCATTTTCAGCAGCCGTGTTTTGATGGGATATAAGATTTCATTTGAAGATTAACAATATTTTCATTCAGGATCCTCCATCAAAATTTGCATGCAACCGACATTGGATACACCTGCCATATATTACAAGTGCTTTTAAATACAAACATCACCAAAAGTGCTTAAAAGTCCTTGTACTTTGAGTGGTTCTGCTGAGTTTGGAGAAACAGACTTTTCATAGTTTTAGACTATCAGTAACTCACTTAAGAAGCTGAATTGTAGAAAATAAAACAGTGTATGTCGAAATTCTCTACAGCTGTTACCTTTAAAGTAAAAGTTAGTCACAAGGGAACATCTTTAAATGTCTTTTGCAGCTTGCATGGAATATTCAAACCTCTTAAATGTAAGTTTTATTTCCCTGTCTCCTGACAGTTGCCATGTTCTGTGCATCTTCATATTTCACTATATTTTTTACATCTGCAGCACCTGCTGATAACAGACTATGGAAAGAATGGGCCTAATACTGTAATTCTTACTGATGTTTATCCATCAATAGATATTTTGTGCAAACTGGGCTGTGGCTCCAATCTGGTCAGCAAGGTTTCCTCTATGCTTAGTTAAAAAAGGACGGAATTAGCATTACTAAGGTAACTGCCTAAAATTAGTAGATTATTCACACCATGGGAGTTTATGAACCATACAGAAGGGTTTGATGACCAGTGGTCAGTCAAGTAAAAGTAGTCCTATTGATGCATCTGTATTTAGTAATGAGACAGAAAAAGGATTTAAAATATGAAAAATTAAAGAAGTTATTTCAAATGAGTATTAATTATTACAAAGATTACATTCAGGTAATATTTAGGACATATTAAATTAAAGTCAGCAATCAAGTTCTGAAGAAGTTTTTAGTTCCATGAAAAAAATCAAGTGGTAATGTATCAACACTGTTGGGATTCAGGTCCTAGCCTGGAACACATCCAGACACTTCACAATCATATTGGTGAATGCATGCTTGAAGGAGAAGTTCATGAAAATCCGTAGGATTTCACACACATTCATCTAGAACAATTCCTTTGAGATGTGAAGGACTGACTTTCCCAGGCTCAGATGGTTTTGAGCCTCAGCAGGTAGAGTGGATGCATCGGAACAAGGGGAAGGACAAGGGCCCTACGGTCTGCTCCAGTGGCATGAATTGTTAAACGTTTTAAAACTCAGCTCTTTTCCCACTGCAATAATAATAGCCACATGTCTCTACTCACTTGCACTTGAAGTTCTCAGGAGTGATGTTGTGCTGGTGAGGAAACTGGGAGTCCCACCTCTGGCACGGGATTCCACTCCATATGGTGCTGACGGTGCCGCGGTAACCCTCGCCCTGCCCTTGAACACACGCCGTGGTCTCGGCTGTCGCCTCGGTGCTGTTCACGATGCTTTCCTCTGCAGACCCAGACAAGAAGGGCTCTTTCATTCTCTTAAGAATGGCTCAGGATTTGTGCAGGTTTGAACTGCACATTACTGATAGAGTCAGTAATGTGCAGGTTTGAACTGCACATTACTGATAGAGTCATGGATTACGTGATGTTTGAATCATGGTAATTGCAGTTTTATTGGTGAAATTTCCAATGTGATTATAGAATAATTTTCTCCTCATATTTACAACATCCACCAAAAATCCAAAATCAAAGTAAGTGCCAGACTTTATGCTAGTTTATCTGCTTTCATGCAAAGAGTCTGTAATATTTTCTTGGATGAGACACCTGGCCTGTGCTGTACTAATGGAGGTTAGAAGATATTCCTGGTTACTTTTTCAAGTTCAGCAAATATCATTCCTCCACTTTAAAAAACTAAGCGGCCACCCACATGTGCACTGTTAAACATGGTAACACATATTTGTAGGATTAAAATGCAATTGGATTTCTACAAAGAATTCCCAGAATATCAGGTCACAGGAAAAAAAGATGCAGATAAAAAATAATAATAGAAAAATATACATACTACTATAAGATAATGTGCTAAATTATCCTAGAAGGTTGTTTGTTTTTTGGGTTTTTTTATGCCTCATATGGTTAAAAGAGGGAAAAAAAAGGCCTAGCTTTTGAAATCAAAGATCAGTATTCTCTACAGAGAGAAAAAGTTTTAAAGACTAACAAATTCATCAGACTCAAGATCTCTTACAGATGTTGATATACTCTGCACTCACCCTGGTGTGGGCTGTCTTGAACTAAATTCAGAAAAACAGTGGTTTTGAAATGACTCATTCACATAACTTAAAAGTCTCTTTTTATTTCTTATGCAATTTTCATAATTGCAAATTAATGGCACAGATATTGCATCAGATATATACAAAGTAGTACAAAGCTAAATGCACTGCAGTAAGAGCAATTCTTCTTCAATATTCAAACGTTCCCAATACAGTACTTTAAAAGAAACACCATATCTGTTGGTAATTGCTATGGTTAACAGGACTAATTTTATTAATTATCTTAAAAGTATTTGTTGCCAGCAAAAAGTATGTCAATTCACTTCTTTATTTAGTTTTCTTCAAATGGTCCAGTGAAGAGAACAGTATTTATGTGTTACTCATATGTAGTTCACTCCTGGTAACTTGAGCCAGTTCCATGAACTCCAAGAAAATATGGATCTTAAGGAAACCAAATGTCACAACAGATGGTTTTGGCTGATTTGCTGACTGATCTTTGACGTTAAAGATCATTTCCCTGTCAGATGATAACATCAAGTTGTGCAGTTGAATTATACATTTATCCATGCATCCCTTTTGCTCTTCATCTGGTTGATGTTTTTAAGTCAGTGTTTTATGGTCAAATTAATTTCCTGTCCCTCCTTCCCAAGGCAAATGTTGTCCTGTTTCAATGGGATTTCGAGTTCCAAGCTCATTCCAAAGTCAAAAGGATATGGCACTGCAAGTATCACAAGATTTCTGCAGGCCGAAAAATGCACTCTTTCTATAGGACTCATCAAACAGTCTTGCAGACTTTGTATTCAGTCTTTACACATCACTTTTTAAATAATAAGACTAGAAAAAGATAAATTCATACAACTTTGAGTAATAAATAGCTGCAATGTTCCTGTTTTCCATTAAAAGTAATATATGAAAACAAATGACATTATATTCTAAAATAGCTTCTAAGCTGATTAGAGTGAACATTGCTATGCAACATTCAAATACATATTAGTCTTTTTCAAAAATACATGCATTTCTTTCATACAAACGAAAGAGATCAGGGGAAAGACCTGAGGGGGCAGGGGTGAAGAGTTCCATAAGATGATAAATTTCAGCATACACCCTGGCTTCATAATATTTCCTAAGTAAATTAATAAATTAAAACTATATAACTCTAGCAAAAGGTCTTCTTAAATAATAATGTACAAAAAAATCAGTCAAATATAAGCTGTTGCAAAGACCTTATCAATACACAAAAAGTTACTATTTCAACTGGAATGAACTGTATAGGGCACCTACTCTGTACTCAGTCATGCTAAAGAAAAAGTAATTAGGTTGGTGTATATATATATATTATTATGTGGGCTTGTTTTTTTTTTTTTTTAAATCAGATGCCTGAAATGAAATGTGATGCTTCAATTGATTTAATCAAGGCCACAGTAATTTTGTAGAGCATTTCTTCTTGTACATCTGCAGATACACAGTTAACTGTTGAACCTTACATTATGTGTCTGGACAGTGACCTCTACCTGTAGATCAGATTTTACAACTTTGCCATGTCAAAATGTACAACGTAAAGGCATCAGAATAACTTAACTTTCACATTGTCATGAACACTTGCGCAGCCAAGCCACTTCTGGAAAGACTTGCACTACAATGACTATAAGAGAAATTATTTCAAAATCTGTAATGTGATTATCTGCTATTACTTGTTACTTGTGGCAGGTCTCAATAAGAATTCTAGTAATGAGAGGGGTCAATAAAATAGTCTTATTTTAACTAATAAAGCAGTTTCATTGTTCCAAAAGGTCCACAGAACCCTCCCCAAATTCTTTGTGCTGTACCACCTGCATATACTACAAATGTCTCATTTTGAAACATGGAAAATGAGACTCCAAGATATTTTCAAAATTTAATTCTGAAATTCTGAGGGCTTGTGCCTTCAGAACCAATTCCCATTCTAGCTATTGAGTCTCACAGAAAGCTCAAAACTTACCAATAAAGGCTTGAGAAATCCTTCATTCATCTGTCGATTCCACAAACAGGCATGATGGGAACAGTCTCCCTATTCCTGTTAATGAAAGTTGGGCTGGATGTGCACAGGAACAGGCAAGAGCTTGAGGAGCAGTGCCTGTCTCACCAGACACTGCAGATTATACAGCACTTGCCAAACTACGAAGTGCCCAGGCTGTCCAAGCCTACAACTTACATAGTCATCTCCATTCAGTACTGGTCTTGTTCTTGAGGCTAATTACTCATCACCCACATACCAAATTAACTAAATATAGTAACTCTGAGCATGAACATCAGACGTGCAGAGCTTTGGTGAAAGAGCCCTAAGACCACATGCACCAGTTCTCTTACAAGGCAAGATCAAGATCAAGATCAAAATCTACAAAATCGAATTCCCACCCCTACCCCAGTAAATCCTCTAAAATATAAATTAAGATCTGAAAATCCAAGGAATTGTTCCAATGAGGAAGACAATATTAATTTAGTTAGACTAATTTAAAATCAACAAGCAATCCTTACTTTTAAGTACTTACTAATATTTCATAATGGAAGTTCCCAGGACTTTTTTGCTTCAGTTAAATTTTTTTAGTTCTGAACTGAGATTAAAAGTACTGTTAAAGAAAGATCACACAAAATTCCACCTTACAAAAGACTACTATTTATAATTTATGGATGAAGTGTCACTTCTTACTCTTGTAGGAAAGTTCATTATGAACAGAAGAATTTGGTAGCTGTTAGCAGCATTTTGCTGCTTTTGAACTTTGTGGGCTTTTGTTTTCTTTTTTTAAATTCTGGATGACTAAGATTAAACATGTAACTCAGATAGCCACATGAGGGGATTTCCCATTAGTAGTATTTCTACCTTCACATGTTCACTCCAAAATCCCCAGCCAAAGGGCAATAATGCAAAAATATCCATTTTTTTTTCCCATAAACCCCTCATTTTTTTGATACTTCAAAATACATAACTTTATTAATATGGGCCAGCTCATGCATTCATAGATTCTTAAAAAGATGAAACATTATCCAGAGCCTTATGTGTAAAGCCACAGATAGTCCTCTCAGTTCTGGTTCTCACAGCAGCGCCAGCATGAGGGAATCAGCAGGGGCCTTGAGTCATTCGACAGCTGAAGTAACCAGCCTGATACTATTTCACACTTTAATCCCAATGACCCAGAAGAAAATCCTGCACAAATTTTAGATCAGTGGTGAGAATCATACTGACTGAAAAGAAGGTAGAGATTTTGCTGGAGAATGCATGTTCTTTCATGACAATACAACCTATGTACTTGTGGAAAAAGGCACAGTTGGAAAAGAAGCAGAGACCTAAATTATATCATGAGGAAAATACCTGTTCTTGCTTATATTCATGCAATGTCTCTTCTACAGTGTCAGTCAACAGAAGGAAAATGTGCTCTGATTTGTAGCAAAACAATTTAAAAAGTTGATTCTAAATGTGATCCATGCAATTCTACAAATGTAATTAAGAAAGCTGAGTGGCATTTTGAAGCTGCTCATGCTCAGTTACATGCTCAGTTTTCATCAGTGTACCATGGCACAGTACAAGAATGGAAGAAAAGCCCAACTGGTTTTCAGTGTTTTGCTTTTTTTTTTTTTTTTTCAGTAAAAACATATGAGAAAGTGAAGAAATCAATTATAGCCAAGCTTAAGAATCACAGTACTGAAGAACTCATTGTTGCCTAAAACCTTCACACATACAATTAATCTGTCCATGAGAACAGGGAGATCCTTCCAGGCTGTTCCAATGGCTACAAGGCTTTAAATTCAAACCATTTTTTATTTAAAATGTATTAAAAAATAAATCTCCTCACATTTAGTGTTCTTAAGTTTCAATTTCAAATTATCATAGAAATTATGAAAAGGATTTGAGAAAGATCCTTTTTGAGGCAATATGGATTAAGCTGTTGCATAAACAGTGAACACTGGACCTATTCTGGGTCTCCTTGTAAAGCAAGATGGAAGGTAACACTTTATCAGCTTCTAAATATCAGTTTCTTTTCCCTGTCTCTTTCTATACATATCTTTATCTTACACAAACATTAACCTTAAATGAGTCTAATTTTATTTGTTTATGTACAATGATTCAACAAATAACTCTTTAATCAGAACTGTGCATTCAAATAGACAGTTGAAATGTCGGTTTCTAAAGAATGATTAATTTAATATTAGTGGTGTTTTGCCTTCCCAAAAGCTGTAGGCACACTGCAACAGTTCATTTTAGATCTAGAGTCTCAATTTTGGTGTTTCATTACTTGTTCTTTCCCATCCAGCTGCGGCCTTTATTGAATATTCTGAAGGCTTTTTAAGCTCTGGTCACTGGTGACTACTGTCAGTAACTACTGGTGGCAAAGGCTAAATCCATAGTAAAGGCATCTGGGTTGGCTGGACAACATGTAGGCATCAATGAAACACTGTCCTTAACACAGTAATTCCAAAAAGCTCTGCAGTTCTCAAAATACTGATATATGTAGCTTCCTTTATGGGTCTCAGCACCTCTCTAAAGCTCATCCATAGAGGAGCTGCTACCCATTTGGGCTTTAGAAAAAACAGTATTAGTTCCCTATTCCTGTCTTCCCTGTAGTCAGTGTTCTTATTTATGCCAAAATAACAGTCATTTTCCTTTTTCATGTTTGCTGGCATTGCTTCCATTTCTTCATTTCATCCTACACTTCTTCATTGCTGTTAGTTGTCCTTTTATCCTCTCTTCTAACTAAAAATTGTCTCAAGCCAAAACCACAGACACATATGTGAGCAACTTCAAACCAGTCTTGGGGTCCCAAAAGTCTTAATCCAAATCCAGTTTTTGCAGCTTGAGCCATCTCTAATTCCTAATTGCTCCTGTCATCTCTTTCTCACAACCCTGGCTGCAAGCCACAATGTTTTATGCTGCATTCTGTGCTTGTAAGTAAAATTACAATGCCCTCTCTCTCTTCAGTCTTAAAACCATATTTATTTTCTAAACGCTTCCTTCCACCAACTTTTTTGCCGAAAATTTTGTATATGAGCTGTTGTCAGCATTTTGGCTATAAAGCACACTAGCACTCACGACATGTAGCAAAAAGCCACAAGCAGCATGCTGCCTTGTGGTCACTCCCCAAAGAGAGGACACCTACATTTTTGTATACGGTCCAAGAACATGGATTTGCAAAGTATTTTTCCTAATTAGTATTTCTTGTAAATTAAATAAACAGTCCTCAGCACAGGAATTAAAAACCTGTGTGAGAATCCAAACCACAAAGCTATAAAGACCTATAACTCATGATGTTCTCTTTTTAGTGTTCTGAGATTACAAACAGCCCCAGCATCAGAAACACAGAGCAGCCACCGAAACCCAGAATAGCCAAGTGTTTTGGGCTCCCTGCTAGGAGGTGGGAAAACAGTTTTTTTATGAGCCTCAAGAAAGACAGAAAACTGAAATAATTTCTGTTAGTATTCTGGCCATCAAGATGGTGAATTAACAGTAGCATCAGCAATAAATTCCCTCAGTGGGTTATAAAGGAAAGCTTTGAGCACCACTGCATCTTACATAGAGGACAATGTCATATGCCTGTGAGAAAAACCCTTTGAAAATATCTGCTAGATTAAGCTTTCATGACCCCTACTTTTAATTTTTTTTTCTCATAGAGGTTGCCTTATTAATTTCAAAAGAGATACAGCATTCTGCAGGGAAAATACAGTTTTACATGTGAAATTTCCACTGATTTTAATATAGTTTCTAACTGAAGGAAAGAATTTCTAGTTTCTTCAGTGAACTTTTGCCTAGAAATGAGACAAAAGGCTTTCATCACAATATGAAAATCATTACACTGTGTTTTGGAGCTGGTTTTAGTTTCATTTTGATCTTTACCTTTTCTTCAGGCTCTGCTATGACTTGGTAGACAAAGGTGATAATCCAGTAGTTTTCAGGAGATCTCCCACCCAACCATTTTATAAGGCTGAGGCCAGACTAGATACTGGAAGTTTCATGAGGCGTAAGCTTACGTGACCAGCAAAGCCAGATGTGAATCCTCAGAACACTGACACATCAGCTCAGGAAATGCCAAAGGATAAAGGTTTATAAAAGTTGCATTTGTGAAACAGTCAGCTGTAACTTAGAAATACTTTTTTTCATAATAGTAACAGGGGAAAAGAACAGTTCTAGTATGCTGCACATGATTCATACGTTATCTAATAATTGGAGAAGTGTAGGAAGCACAGTTTAGTTTAAAAAAACAAACCACAAACCAAAACAAAACCCAAACCAACACAGGCCAAAAGTCCAAAGCAGCAGCTCCTTACTTAATGGAGCAACTAAAAAATTTAAAGATGATTCAGTTAACACAGCTAAGCAATCTGTGTTCACAAAAAGGGCAGTCTGAGCTTTCCCCTTTACCAGTAAGTCTAGATATAAAAACATGAATTAGTCCTGTAGTTCACAGGTAAGACTTTCAACATGGGTGTGACTTAATGGGTGTCTGACCCAAAATAAGCAGCCATCCTACCAAGGTTCTTCTGTCTCTGGAGAACCTGATTAGACATTGCCCAAACTATCAAAATAACTTTGCCTTTTTTGCAGTGGAATAATTTTGATATTTTAACTACTTTATACTGGAATTACAATGACATAAAATAGAATAAGTTAAATTACTCTGCATCAGGTGGTACAGAATATTCTTAGTCAACCCTTGGATTTCAAAAATTGACAAATTGGTTAGACCAGACTGAATCTCCAAGACATTAGAACTGGCCTAAACTATAAGGAGCCAAGGAGAGAAAATTCTGAATTATTAGTGATTCAGGCAGAAAACATGGCATAACTTGTTTGATAAGAATTCTAAACAAAGGTGGAGAATCCATCTTTAGGCAGCAACAACTCACAAATAAAGTTTCATGTCAGAGCTATTACCTCTTCCTTGCCACCCATTCCAATATTTAAAGCAAGTCTCAGTAAAACTGATTCTACCACCTGCCTTAGCCCCAGTATTACCATGAAAGTATAGAAAAATTGCTTTGCTCAAGTTTTCAAGGAATGTCCAAGAGTTTAACCTTCCACATTGTCTCTTTACTTCTCATTTAAGACATCTAATTATCAGTAAAATAGAGCTGTCACTGCTGCAACCAAAGTTAAGATGACCTGAGCTTTGTAGACATAACATGATGCAGTAAGCTCTCAAATGCTAAATAAGAGCATCTCAAAGTGAGCATCCAATAACTGTACACCTTAATGTCACTTTGATTCAATTCCTCATTTCTAAAGAGTGGTTAACAAATGCCACCATCTTATAACTGATGGATGAAAAGAAATTCACTGCCTGTGGTCTGCTTTGATATGGAGTGCTGAGTATCACAGAGAGACCCATGTGGAAATTAATAATTCTATCTTCAGCACAAGAGTGAATAATGTACAGGACCCAAGGCCTAGAACTGCAAAGCAGTAAAGAGTTGTAAGCAGGGTACACTGAGGAGGGATTGTGTGTGTGCAGCAAATGATATTTGATACTCTCAAATGATAATGCAAATGTCCAGCATGGCCAAACTAATACTGCACATGAGATCCTCATTATTTTGTTGCCTCACTTTTTTAGTTCTTGATTTTCATACATTTTAATGCAATTTACAGTACATAAGACATACACATATTCCTGTGGTAAGTAACACACAACTCTTCTTTCCTGTCCAGATTAAATATAAAGTGTTTATAGGAGACCCTCTTTGAAAGCCATGTTTTAAAAGCCAGTGAAGGGCAATGAATGAAATAGCGGTGGTCCTATGCTGTTTGAAATATCTGTGTCCAGATTTTGGAAAGGAAAAGGAAGTAATAAATTTTGCTTGAACTCACCACACGTTTTAATTGCACAGAACTCCCAGGGGGTGTTAGGGTCAAGAGTGTAGCACCATGGTCTCAGCTTGCCATCAGGATTGCGGCAGTAATTATCATCAAAGCCCTTGTCAGGATATCTGCAAACCACAATGAGAAACGTGTCAGGGCAGTCTTCCTGGCAACACTGCACTGCCTTCTACAAGGTACTTAAAGGACAGATTTCAGCAGAGGCAAACAAGAACTGGTTCCTATTAACCTTGGGTCTGATCCTGTAGGATGGATGCAAATATGCTTCTAACGCTGTTAAAATTTAATAACATATAAACACTTTCCAAATCTGCAGCAGGACCAGACCTCCACTGAGGGGGCTCCCTGCTGTGCTAATGCACAGGGTACCGGATAGGCTAACTCCACTAATTGCTAAACTCTTGCTCTCGTGTCCGTCAACTGATGACCAGACACTTAAGCCACTCATTTTTGTTTTAAACAGACCAATTAAATGTGGATTATCTAAATACTGCCTGCCATGCCGGACTCATTAAGAAAACAGGTTCTTCAGTGCAACAGCCCTGGGTTCAAACTGGAAGCTATTTTGAGCAGCTCTGCTACTAATGATAACTCCATTTTTGTAACAGAGCTTATTTTTGGTCATGCCCTCATTTCAAGCATTGGAAGAAAGAAGGAGAAAAATAAGTAAATAGCTTCCGTCTCACTTTATCTCATTAAGACTTGATAATATTGTGCTATATTTAAATGTTTCCACATTCCTACAGCCATCACTGACTATCAGATATCCAAGATCTGTAGGATTTTTTGTATAAATACATGATACTAACATCTGTAAACTTGAAGGAGACAAATGCATCAGGTTGGGTTTTTTTTCTCTAGTGAATACAAATTGTCTTGGTCTTCCAGTTTTATTGAAATGTGTTTGTGAAAGAAACAAAAAGTAGATTTGCCTCTGAGGAAAACCTGAAAAGTATGTAAGAGAGCAATAAAGTTAACTACTTGGGAACCTGAATCCATTTACAACTGCAAGCAGATGTGCTTCACACAAGCAGACGAAAATATGATTTACAAGTGTATGTTTTTGCTAGGATGCTTTTTCTGTCAAATGATCATGCAAATTTTGACTCATTTGCAACTTGATCTCCCATTTCTTAGGAAAAGTCAGGTTCCTTCAACTATACAAGGGACAAGGATAAGATTTAAGTAGAATTAAAAAAAAACATAAAGAAAATAAAAATGACAATGAAACCACCAAGAAGAAACCTCACCCAACTGGTCACTCAATGGCAGTCAAGAACATAGTAATTTCAGATGTAGCAGCTGGACCCTATTTTCTGCTAGGTGTAAAACAAACTGTAAAGAACAAGTTGTGTCCATGGATTTCCAAAAAAAAAATAGTTAATGGGCTAATAATACAGCAGAAAATTATATGGGTTGGACCTTCTAGTAGAGGTAGTGATGAGCCTTGATGCTGGTGGAACACATTCCATGTCAAATAACATGGAAAGTGCATGTTACCACTCAAGAACCAAGATGAGTCTAGGAATGGCAAACTGTGATTGCAGTCACAGCTCACAAAATGCATTTGAAACAGCTCTTGATACAAATAATCCACATTCTTTCAGAATGCAAATGTCTATCTTTGCACAGAATGCTCCATCCCTCCTAATATTATATGGGCTATTCCCACAGTATACCAAATACGGGTTATTTACTAATTAAAACTTAGGTAGAGATGTTCTTCCAGGATCAAGCTTTGAGTGTCTTCATGGGATGGTGTAGTGCCTGTGAGCCGTGTCTTTTCACTGACTAGATCTACTTGTCCATTTCTAGAGCAAAACTAGACTTCCCAGTCAATGGTTCTTCCCCCAATATTAAGGGAGGCTTCTGTCTTCCTTCATACCCAGCAAGAAACAATTGCTATAAAAAGGCCAACTAATACCTTTAATGAAACAAATATTAGCAATAAGATAAATAACAGGTCTTCAAACTGTTCCACACAATTCAACAGCGAGGCTATGCAGGATTCCCTGAGAGCTGTCTCTTTGCTGTACACACTCCTCCTTCCCTAGTACATTTGGGCACAGACCCCTTCTTAGACCTAAGAAAAAGCCTGAGGTGTCAGAGGTTTTCTAGAACTCTACATATTTCTGGTTTTTCCCCCTTGAAATGTACTTCATTGTCAGAACTGAAACGAAGCATCAAGATACATATCTGGTTTCAAAATCAAGACTTTATCTCAGTTTCTAGAGAAAAGAGAGGAGAGTATTAGCCAGAGAGATAAAATTTATTCTTTTAAAAGAGACAAATGCTGATCCCCAGCTCTGCTGGAAATAAAATGAAACTTAGTATCTAAAGCTCTTCACCAATATTTATTTTCCCCTTTGTTTTTTGGTTTTTGTTTTGTTTATTTTTTTTTTGTTTGTTCAAGACATGTAGGACTGGAAACTTGATTTTTTATAAAGCAAATTTTTATACAAGAGATATAAATTAATATAAATTATTAGTACCAGGGTACTAATAAAGTGATGTCTGCAGTTATTCACCTCCTATGATACACTCCAACCCTACTTTCCTCCACATAGTAAATATTTTCACAGAATGTTTGAGTCTGAGCAGAAAAGCACAAAAAACTTTTCCCCCTTATGATGCCCTATGCCCAAGACATTATCCTCAGTGGTCTTCCTTCCATCCTGAGGCACAGCTGTGCCCTTGAGGAGAACACAAGAGAAGCGGAGTTTCAGAATATAATTCTGCACCCACTAATAGCTGGAAATAGGTCATGCAGGAGCTGTTTGGGAGAAATTCTTCTGCTCGCTTCAATCACATCTAAGCAGACAGCAAGGATCTTCAATAATTGACCTCTGAGGGAAGTAAATGTGGAGTAATTCATTGAGGTGACAAAAAAGTGAGTTGTATTAACCCTGTGCCAAAAGCACTGTCCAACAGCACATAGACTGGTGCATTTGGAAAGATTACCATCTTTACTCATTTTCTTCATCATTGCAACTGATAAATAAATGAAAATAGGTTTAAATCTGTCCAGATAATCCTTCCGGTTTTACAGGTTATTTACATTACACCTGGAAGACATACTATCAGTGTCTCTAGAGAATGTTGTATTTTAATGGGTCATTTGTTCCAGACCTTTTCTCTTATTTTCAACTTATACAATTACGAAAAAAACAATCAAGCCAGCAAACCAAAACCTTCAGTATTTTAAAAATGTGGTATAATTAAAGTATAACTGCTGCTACTTTTAGTGACCATTCAGAGAGCTAATTAACATCAGTATATCAGAAATATGCTGGACTACATTACTCTTCTGAAAGCCCACTCAAGTCAGTTCAATCTGGATGGGCTGCTTTTGGATTAAAAAAAAAAAACAACAACCACTTTATTACTGTCTGAAAACTTTCAAGAAGATGTTCTCAGAAGGAATTATTTCAAAGAGGAAGACGATTGTTCGTAAGACTGTGGTTAGTCTGAAAAGTCATTTTGCAAAACAATCAGAAATTAATGGAAAAAAAGAAATTTCCTCCTGACAGTAAAATTATTATTGTTTGTACCCATGAGTTCTATAAATGTTTCACTCCAAAGGAACAAAACCGTTTCTGTGACTTATTCTAGAATACACAGTGACTGCATAGCAAAACTCAGAAACAGATTATCTTCAGTCCCACTCTGCTAATACAAAATATTTATTGTGGAAGAACAATGGGATAGACTGCTATTATTCATGAAACTGTTCATCTAAGCCAAAGGAAAAAACATAAGCTCCAAAACTGCAGATCCTCAATATTTTGCTGAATAATCAGGCTTTCTAAAATCTAGCAGTACCCATAGCTCTCAGAATAAAAAAAAATGCTTTATTTGGTGAAACACTTTAACATGCAAAAAGATACTTTCAGTGGAAGGTCTTAATCATTCTGATTTTGTTGATTCTTGCAGTCTTTGTCTGGCAGTTTAAGTTTATTCAAAACAATATATAAATGGAGTTAATTCAAAATCCAGAATAATACTAAAATGAAACTAGTACAGTTTGAGATGAACAGAGACCCCCTCCTGTGTGGCCTAACCCCTTCCCAGCCTCTCCCTCCCACAATACTTTCAGAAGTGTGTATTATAGATGACCCTTTGTAGTTGGATGAATTTGGCCCTGTAGGACAAACACTAACAGGGATGAAATTTGTCTTGCTATTTCTGACTCAGCTTTTGGCACAGTGAATCAGTGCCTAAATTAAAAAAGAAGAAAAAAAAAGAAAACAAGTCTAATAAAGAAATCCATGTTCATAAAGTGCTAAACAGAATGATTAAATCCTTTCCCAGGGTGAATAAACAGATGTAATGGTCAAACAGTTCAGTCAAACAAATTGGATACTTAAATGTGATTATTATGGAAGGTCACCTGCAGCTTTAAAGCTGTTCAATATTGCAAAAAGGAGGATACTGTTATTTGACAATATTGGAAGTTTATATTCATCAAAGGTGTTAGGAGATCTAACAAAAATTTATTACTTTAAATCATTATTTACTATGTGATTAAGGTATTTAAGCTGACTGCAGCTGCACACCAAATTACACAGAAATATTCAGAGGTTATTTATTTACTGCCAATGAACTAGGAAGGAATTTTTGATCAATTAAAGCAGTAGCAGCATTAGTACAGTAGTCAGGCACAGGATGTAACCAGAACTGCACAAAACAGCCTCTACTCTCCATCCTGCATCTCCATTGTGTCAGTAGCCAGCCTACACCAGGGGCCAGGAGCCCACGCATCTAAAACTGGTGAACTCCATAAATTTCAGTTGAGCTAATGCTAGTTTTGCTCAGCTGGTTCCAGAATGTGTGTAATTTTCAAGTTATGACCACATGGTCTTGCTTGGGGGTAGGAGAGGTTACCTCTCTGGACGAAATTTGTGCTTGTGTGGTCTCTGAAGATCCCAGCGCTGACACTCCTTGCCTGTCTCCGTGTGATCCATTGGCCCTCTATAACTCTCTCCATTGCAGGTCATGCATTCAACTAAGAAAAAAAAAATGGACACTAGTCATTTATTACACTAATGCTTATACCACAAAAAAAAAAAAAAAAACCAAAAAAAAAAAAAAAAAAAAAAAAAAAAAAAAAAAAAAAAAAAAAACCCAAAACACCAATAACCAAACCAAATTAAAACCAAACCGAACCCTCAAAAAAAACCAAACCAACCCTAAAACCAAAACCAAACCAAAAGAAATGAACATAAAAAACCCCAACGTGTTCTTGCTCTTATATAATACCAACCTAAAGAGATACTAAAAAATTACATCTTTCTGTTGGGTTGGTATGTGTAATGCTCTTTGGAATATAATGTTATATGTTAGGACTAATCCAGATGCTTAAATTTTATATCACTTTATAGGACACTTACAGTTTCAAAGCAGGTAGAGGGGAGCTATTAGAGTCATTCATGTTCCTATCAATATTTTACTAACCTTACTTATGGTTTGTAAGAGAGAGAGAGAGACACATAGCTAAGGAAGAAGTATTTTTAAAGGTGATATTATCTAATTAGCACCATTTATTTTTCTAAATCACTCTAAGTCACAGTATAATTGCAGGACAAGTTTAAGTGCAGAATATTGGTGAAATCCCAGTTTCAGTGCAGTAAAGTACGTCTCTTTATATATCCAGCACTTCCAGCTATGTATGATACAGTATCTTTTTGATGGTAATGGTTTTTGGCAGCTTAAACTAAGATACATTTTCAGTCCTGGTTTGGGAAAGTGGGTAGGGGGCACGGAGGATGGAGGGAGATTGGTCAAAAGTTACCAAAGGAATTTGAAAGCATTGTTGAACAACATTTAGAATGAAAGGTCTGAAAATATAAAAAAATCACCAGAATTTACTGTAGACAAACTTCTCAAGTACTCCCTAATTAGAGTAATTGTGAGGAAGAATGATTTAGAAAATACTATTGTATGGAATTACAAATATCACAAAACATCAGCTATCAAAGTCTTCATCCTAAAGTGAGCTCCAGGTCAAGTATTCCATTTGCAATTCACGTAATTTTATCTTTAAATTATAGATTTCAACAATTCTTAAGCTCCATGTAAATTATTCTATTCCTCCTTCTCTTCCTCTCTCCCTCCCAGTTTCTCTCCCTCCCTCCTTTTCCTCTTCCTTTCCTAAGGACAGCATAGCTATTGCATGTGACACATTAGCAGGAAAATTAAAGGCATCCTATCTTGAAGATTTAAATAGGTTGATTGACTGGAACTGAATTGGCTGATTAGCAAGATGTAAGAGTTTAATTTGGAGGTTAATAGAACTTAAAAGTCAACAAATGCAATGGTGCATATAAAGTGTCTTTCAAACTCTGTGACTTGAAAGTCAAATGGGGTTGGATTTGCAGAGAGTTATACTTATTTACAGTATTTATTCAAAAAGCAAAATGCATGCTTATCTTAAGCTTTCATCTTGTAATCCAGTATCTATATTTTCATCAAAAAGAAGACGAAAAGCTGATTTTACCATGGAATGACACTAGATGATTTTATCACATAGTAATACTGAAATTGTAATGGATTCACTATGGACGAGACCAGCAAAAAGAAAAGGATCACATTTGTGTGATTAGCACAACTTCATTTTCAAGCTCCTCCTCCATAACCTGAAAAAAGCTGCTGAGCCTGAAACCTTCCAGCATACTGGAATGTCTCAAGATCTCCTCTTCTTCTATCAACTTCTTTTCTTGCTATATGAGCTACTCTTGCCGAGAAATCACCTATTCTTTCTCTAAAGGCCACGAGCAAGTGCTTACTGGGAGCTCTGTGCAGCTGCTGCCAGCAGAGCAGAGGCAGCTTTCTGCAGGAGCTGTGCTTGGTTACCTTCTGAGCAGAGGGGGATGTCACAGACTTCATGGCGCGTCTCTGGACTGGTGGTGAAACACCACGGGCCTCCCTCTTCCCCTCGGGGGTTTCGGCAGTAGTTTTCCCTCAGGTCTTTTCCCCGATAGCTCGAAGGCAAAAAGCTAGTTTTAAAATGACAATCATTACAGTATAAGAGCATGCAAAGGTTGGGGTTAATCATACTATTTTTACAAACAGTTAGAAACAATCACATTTCTGCTTCCTTCTCCCTCCACCCTGTCTAAGCAAATGCACACACCCAAATATCTGTCCATACACAAATAGACATCTTCAGTTGGGATTACTCAACCTAAATGGCCTAAATCTGGGACAATTTGTCTAGCCCATAGCGTGCTCAAGAGAGTTTTACTCCCATCCCTCAGCTGTCCAGAGACAACTATCTAGGGCACAGCCAGAGGCAGTCACACACTCCCTCCCAGCCTGCACTGTGTTCTCCTTCAGGAGCTCTGGCTGCACAGGGGTTGATTGGGTCTGTAGCCAGATGAGGCCCGTCTGTCCTGTGCACGTTGGCACATACAACAGGTCCAGCTGGGCTCAGAGTTCACCTACTATGTGAAACTCACAAGCAGAGAAACCTCTTTGCATCCCTGGTCAGGCAGCAGCAAGAACTGATCATCAGCAGCATGCAAGTGTGACCAAGTCTGTGCTACACCTCGCTGAGAGGCTTTCACTGCCTGAAACCAGGGACTGCTTTGTATTTCAGCACAAGAGATTTCCCCAGATGCCATTTTAGCTGTTCTTAGCTAAAAAATGTTCATGTCCATTTAGCACATTCCTTCATGCTCTGCCACGAGCCCCGCTGTGGTCACCTTAGGGTCTGCTACTTACAGACCCACCCATAATTGCATTGTATGTGTTGAGACATTTAACAAAACCCCAGCTGACTCAACATGTCCAGGATCAAGGTGTTTACTTCTCAGGTATCTGTAAAATTATGTGCTTACATCTAGAGAAACTATGTCATACACAGTGACACACACACACACTTTATATAATAGAGACACATAAATATTTATACTTAAAAATAATGCTAGCTTATTTACCCCACAAAATAAGGAACAGCTAACCCCATAGTAAGGAACCCAACCCCAGAGTTAGTCTGTTCAATGCCACTTCAACAGCTCGGGACCACATTCATGCTGCACATTGCAGACAAATCCAGTTTCATTGGATTTCTCTGCCAGTTACAGTGCAGCAATACTAAACAGCAGCTAAATCTCTGGAGTTAGAAAGCACCTTAAAATCAGAGATCTGTCTCATGAAGGTTTTTTTTGTTAATTGAAATACTGAGTTAACTACATAGGGGATCACATAAAACTTGCAACTGAACTTAATATATTTAATTTTTGAAATTTATAAGATTTGTTCCATCTGTATTTAAGCTTTGGTGGAAACAGAAATAATGCACCTTTTATTCTGAAAATATCTAACATTTTATTTTGAGTGCTTTGAGAGAGAGAAACAAGAAGAAAATTTTGATGTGACATTTTATTCAAATTTTATTCCCATTAATGAAATACTTGAACTAACTGAAGTGAAAAATACCTCTTTTAGTCACACTTCGGTTCTAGTCAATGCAATATGGAAACAATACATAAAGGTACTTTTTTATTTTTGGTGCTTGAAGAGATTAATTTTTGTGTCATTCCTGCTGCCTATAAAATTGGTGCTTCCTTTTTTTCCTCTATAGTCTTCTAATGTAAGTATCTTAAATTTTTTTAATTAAAGACCCTCAGGTGAACATTTTTGATGAGACATTCACACCTGGATATGTGGTAAAGTGGTCTGTCAGTGCATATTAGAATACTCTATTTAACTTTTCTGCTCATTAGAAAATATAGAGAAAAGGCATCTCAAATTGCATCAGATATGCTGTAATAGCATTGAAAAAAAAGAAAAAGTCTAAATGAGTAGCCCTAGGGATGCAAGATGGGTCAGGTATACAAATGGCTTCAACAGGTACTGAAGCAATGTTCTTGAGAAAGGAAAAGATGAGTTGTAGTAAAGATCTACCCAGAAATGGAATAAAGGGCCACTCCTCAAACTGATGATTTAGTTCATCTCCAATAGGTAAGAAAAGAAAGAAAAAAAGCCAAAAACTGAAGCCAGTAAGAGTAATGGTAAAAACAGATTCAACCACACAAAAGCCATGGAAACTAGCCAAAAGTCTATGAAGCATTGGTCTGCTCTTTGACCATTTCCCTTTTAGACCTTTTTACATTGGACTTTTTAAATTAAAACTCTCTAAGAGTCTTAAAATCTGTACTAGGATGGAGACGACAATAATAGAAAGCAGAGTTTTGCTTGGAATCTGTGTTCTGATGGAATACAAATAAATAAAAATATGGCTTGCTAGATTGAAGCAAAAGTTTAAAGTTTCAAGATATTTCAATTCTTCCTAGAAATATAATTCAAAATCATTTAAACACATTTCTCCCTTAAATATGAAAAAGGGATTTATTTTCCAATGGCACTTTGTGATAATCAGCTGTTGAGAAAAACTGACCTACAAAGCTAAGCTTTTTGTAGTAATAACTACCAAACACACCACTACTGTCTGCTTCTTCCCACCTCCCTCATGTCTCTGATGATGAAATCATATTTTCTGATGTTGAAAAACAAAATTAGCATGCAGCCACCTCATTTATCCGGTGACCTTTTAAAAATTAGACTTATTGCACAAGGCAGGAGAATAGTCACTCTCATAAAATTCATCACAGAAGAGTGGCTGTCCAAATGCACTGGATAAAATTGTGTATGTGATAAAACTGTGTATGCTGTGTATTAAAATGCAATTTAATGATAATGTGTGCTATCCAGACACTTCCCTTTCTCTAATTAAGTAAAGTCACATGTATATTATGTAGAATAAATGCTTATTTTTGCTTAGGTTACAATGATTAAGAATTCTGTCACTTCTGAAAGATGAAGATATCTACTGCAAGGTGTTGAGTCTCCAGAAGTCATTGCTTTGGGGTCTGTTGGTATTTAGGTATGCTCCCAGTTAAGAACAGGTCTGGTCCCAAAGTGAAGAGCAGACACTGCCATCTATACTGTAAGAGCCAAGTCCAGTAAGTCTAAGCCTGAGGCTCAGCTTTGTAACACATCATAAGAGGACAGAATTCAACTATCCTTTGCCTTTTAATGTTGTTCCAAGATATCCTCTTGCACACTGGATTGATTTGGTCAGGACAGGACTGAGCAGTGCACAGCCCAGTTCCTCACCAGCAATCTCCAATTTGGCTCCTCCTAAACAAACTGCTGACCCTGGGAGTCTGGAGCAAAAGGCAGCAATGTGGATAGCAAGCTTATGGGTGAAAGGACATTTTGGTTTTGTCTCTTAAAGTTTTATTATCTACATAGCTAAAGCCAGTACAAAAACATTTACAGAGAAGTGGTTAAAGAGTAGACCAGTACTTTGTAGTGCTTTAACTGGTTTCCGGGAACATTTGCTGGGGATGAATCTGTTTTTACCATTACTCTTACTGGCTTCAGGTTTTGGCTTTCTTCTCTTTTTCCATAGCCAGTAGCGTTCAACTAGATTTACTCTCAAGGTGTAGGTTTGGCCTCAGTTTCTCACTGTACCAGATCCTATTCTGAAAAGGTAAGTCCTGTACATGCTCCCTCAGTTTTTAGCTTGTATAATCTGAAGGGAAAGATTTCAAAAGCCTCTTCAGTCCTTTCCATGGATTTGCTGCCTGGCCTAAGTGCTCCACAGAGTTTAACATATTTCATAAATAACAGAGAATTGACAGTAACTATGCAAAACATACTAACAATATTATACACTAAGCAAATAGCTGGTCTACTATCCCCTGCTTCCTAATAATGTGGTTTTCAAAATTGCTCATTCCTTGGGAGTCAATCAGAAAACAGTGATGAACTTTCAGACCCTGGGCTGAAATAATGCAGATGTTTTGTTTCTGCCAGTAGCTAAGAGATCAAAAGGATATAAACAGCTAAAAAGAATCCCCAACACAGGAAAGAAAGAGATACAGACACACAGGCTGGCATTAGGAGAGAACGTTTTGCAGAAAGTCCAAGATAAGAATTTTCTGTGATCTGGAGAATGGCATCTCTTGGAGAAAGGCAAGAATATACCTAAGAGATTTTGTTTTCTAAGGTCAGTTTTCCCATAAGTTCTTATACTTTATGTATGAGAACTATTCCCATTGTCTCTGCTCCTGAACTCTTACCTGTGCTCATGAGGAATCATTGAATTCCAGGCCTGACACTGAATACCACTTTTTGTAACTGATATTGTTCCTTTATAGTCTGCTCCTTTTCCAATGATACAATTTCTGACATAATCTATTGAAATAAAAGAGAAGAAAATGAGAGATTTGTTTAATTCATGAAAAATTAAAGCTCATCTTCTGCTTTCATATAAGATAATATATTTATTACCTTTTATCTACTTAATTCCTCAAAATACTGCTTATTTGTTGACATACATGCCTGTCTTTTTTTTTTCCCCAAATACTGATCACTATCTGACCCAAAAAAAATCCTGGAAATGTTTCCAATGTATCTGGTTGAAAAAACCTCCTTGTCTGAGGACTTATGTATCCTACTCATTAATGAGGTACGTAAGAGCAATATTAAGTAATAAACGGTAACTCATACAAGCTCATACTGAGCTGCTCGGTAGTAAACTGAAGTACAAAACTGAAACTAGTATGTATGACAGTAGGCAAATATGTAGATTGAAAAAGTGACCAACAGCAAGTACGTAGACAAATTTGCATGGCAGCAAACTCAGGATATGTGTAAGTAAGACTGTTGGATGCAGCTTTCAAAATGCATGAAAGCACCCATGCTGAGGATGTTCTTACAGCCAAAAAATCACTGACTGACCTCAGGGGTTTTTTTTACCCTCGCTAGCTGGGAAAACAAAATCAGTAAATAAATCAGTTACCCTTCTTTTCATACAGATCAAACGCATGGTCTTGCTTCTTTCTCACACCATTTGTCAAGCTGTTGAAGGATAACCAATGGCACCGTTTTGTAACTCTGTCATAAGCAAAGGCCCTGCAAAGAAAATCTGGATGAGAAAAAAATCTCTGTGTGGTTTATAATAATGACACATGGCCTGCCAAGGAGCATGCAATGACATCAGATTTATTTTTACTGGGAAAGTCAGAGAAACAGTCCAAATTACTATTTAAACCCACAACTGTGCTGACAAGAGCAAAGAAACAAAGAAATTAAATTGATGTGGTCATTACATTAAATACCAGTTTGGTTGTTCACACTAATCTAAGAGTTCCCTTGTCATTAAAGATCTTTATTTTAAAACTTAGATAAATGTGACTGGGACAGCATTTGTATCCTCAGTTACGCTGCTTCCTGGGAAAAAAAACCCGTGAAGACTAAAACATCATTTTTGCTATCCTTACAATATGCCTCTGAAATAGTTAAGGATCTCACACTGATGGATTGAGGAAAATTCAAGCACAAGGAATCTGTTTCTTGCCTAGAACAACAGATCTGTTTAAAAACAAGATTATTTTTATTTATATTTTTATTAATAAAATAAACTTTGATAGTGTACCTAGAATTTTTCCTTGCTCACTTGTGTTTTCTTTTTTCTCTTATTTTAAACTGCTTTCTAGGAGTGAGTACAATGTGTGCTGAATTGACTAGATATGGGGGAGGGCAAGAAAGACAAACAAAACCACACAGTAAAAACACTTTCTTTCAATAGTTGAAATGAAAAATGCAGACCGTTTTCTCCCATAACAGTTTTGAAAGGATAGTCTTTAATTATAGGTAAAAATATTTTTAAGTATTTTAAAACCACAATTGACCACCTTGGAAAGGGCAACTTTTTTCCTTAATTTTTCATTTTAATCAAATAACAAATAACTGGCATTATTTCCTCTACTCCACCATAAAATCTACATTTTTGTCATTCATCCCATACCTTCTGATATATTTTATTCTGATCTGAGAGGGCATTTTAACACTACTTGATAATATCCAAGAGTCACACAGATTTCTTACACTTCATCCATACTTTTCATCTTACTCCTTATTCCATACTCTTCAGCACTGCATCCTTCAACAAAAAGTTCCTTGATCTTCATTTAATTCATCATACAAGCTTTCTGTGTGAGATCTTGCTGGCTTCAGTTAAAAATGCTACAAGATCCTATCCAATCTCCCCAGCCTTCTCTCTTTCAAACATCTTCTTCATTATCGTTTCCATCACCAAACAGATTTTTCATCCAACTGCTCTCTCTACTCTGTTGACTCCAAATGTTTCCAACCTGCTAACCTTCATCCCTCTGCCCTTGTGCAGCCTTCTGTTCTCTTCTGGCTGATTCTCAAATTCGAGCATATCCAAGTGCCTCTCACTCCATCACTCACAAAAATATCCTTGACCTTTCCTGCCTTTCCAATTACATTCTCGTTTCCGCTCCTCCCTCCTAAAGTGGGAATGCAGAATGCATTGTTTACAAACTATTCTTTCAGCTTTTGCCTTTCAGTTGCCTTTTGGTTTCTTTCCAGTTTGGCTTCAACCAGTTCTGCACATAAAAGTTTGTAAAAATCTTTTCTTGGACCCAAATCTGGAGGATTTTTATACCTCCAAAGTCAACATATTTGAGCAAATTCTTGGACTTTCTTCTACTGATACTGCCGATCAGCCGATCACAACAATTTTTTTTTTTTTTTTTGGTTTCCCTTTGTACTGAGATAGTATGTAGATTTTCTTACAGGTACTGAAATTCTGTTGTCTGTACTGAAATCCCTTCCTGGGTAAATACAGACACTCCAAGCAGATAACAAAGGATAAGACAGTGACAACTTTGCAGCTAAGGAATAGACACACCTGCAAAAGTCACCTGTATAATAAATAAAAGAGTAACTCTATTGATTTTTTTTTTATCCATAGGAATTGTTTTGGGAAAAACCCCAAGGATGGCTGTGGGAAAACAGAGGGAGTAATGGACTGCTAGGGGTGTTGAAACAAAGGAATAGAACAGTTCAGCAGCAGCAGCAGCTTGATAAAACTGATAGGGAAGGCAGAAAAAGAGGCTCAGAGATTTATGGAGTCAAAACCACAGTGTAAGTGAATCTCATGAGTTCTTTGATGGAGGATTTTAGAAATAATGTTATGAAAAAGAAACAAGTCTAGATAAGGATCTTGTAACTCAGCTGAAAATGAACAGTATCTGCGCAAGCATGACAGCAGAGGGAATAGAGAAAGTATCTGTTCTCAAAAGTTACATATATTAGCTTCAACAAAAAAGTGTTAGAGTTAAAACCATCAAGGATTAATGATTAAACAATAAAATAGTCAAAATCTACTTGCATGTGACACAGAAACTTATAATGAAGAAACAGAAAGTTTTCTTAATTTCCCCCCTGCTTCCAGCAAAAAAGGAGTACCTGAACCTTTACAAGTCTGTAGTCCCTGAAGTCTGCTACTTTTACCACATTCTGGCAAAAAAGAAACCTAACACTGTTCCTGCTTTTGTACCTCAATGTGCATAGGCATAGATGTTGTCGCTCCCGGTACTATTGTCACAATTATGTTACAAAGCAATTCCATTTTTAATTCTTACATAAAGCTTACATACAGAAAATAAAACGTCGGTGCTGTGACCCAAGTGATGGAGAACTTCTGCATGGATATGGAGTATAAGAATCAAGCTATGAAAATGTCAATAAACACAGGAAATTTCAAGTCTCATATTTCAAGCATTTAAAATGTCATTTTGTGTTACTTCTTATTTTAGAATGCTCCCACAGCAGGCAGGAAGCTAATTGGTTTTCATTTAAGTTGGCAACAAATTTCACCTTGTTTTAACCATGTACTGGTATGAAGTTAAAGATTGGGATCCTAGGAATAAAAGGGAAACATAGTAAGCACTGGATCTTTTAAAAGGGAACACATGTAAAATGTGTGTTTACAGTAGCATCAAAGAACAGTTCACACTACAAATGGATCCATATGGGGCCAAAAGGGAAACCACAAGGATGTTCTGAGATCCCTGCAAAGAAAATCCCATGCACTCTGTGCATAATGGTAGCACAGGCAAGACCTCATCATCTACACCTCTACTGCTAAAGCAGGATTTTAGCACCTTCCCTGCTAAAAGCCCACCAGGGAAAGCAGGAATTCAGAGAATAAGTCATCAGGATCTGTTATTCTTCTCCAGATTCAGTGCAACGTAGTTGCATGAGAGATTGCCATTCTGTTATCTGTGAGCAGGGCTTTTCCAAGCTGTACTCTCAAAAGTCCCTCATGTCTCGTTTATGTTGTTGCATTGATTCATTAAAGGAGAAATTGCCCCCTAAGATATCCATCAGACACTCTGTAAAAAAAAAAAAAGCTACAAAACATGAAAATATTTTAAAAATTCTGAGAGACTCTAAATTAATTTTATTATAAAAGAGACTACACACATATATTAATTTGCTTTTTATTTTCAGAACACAAAAGATAGCATCTGGAGCAACTACAAGTGGCTTGAGAAAGTTTTCCTAAACTGATGCTAGAATATAGAATTTTTGTTTTCTTGGAGTTATTCAGAATTTGTTTTATACTGTGATACTTTTTTGCAATACTCCTTGCTGCTCTCCTTGGAACTTAAGGATCTCTTGCTGTATTGAATACAACCTGATCCTTTTGGCAATGGCATCAGTGGAAGCCCTGCCAACAGAGAAAGGCGTGGCTTGTACCAGGTGAAAAATATTAGTGCATGGAAAATATTTTCTATCTGAAAAAAGTTAATTCTGCTCATTATTTACACATATAGGGTACAGAACAATACAGATGAAATCTTGCAACAATGGAATTAAAGGCTTACAGAAGAATTTAATCACAATTGAGAATCTTCTCTGCCAAGGAAGAATATTTGTTGCCACATTTCATCCAGCTTCTATTTGTACCAATTGTCAAAACTGTTTTATGTTTCAAATTCAGGCTCACATTTAGTACTACAGAACTCACCAGTACAGAAGTCATCCACTCTCTCCAAGATCATCTGCAATGCCTTTCATTGATTGCTAAAGGTCTAGACTAAGAGAGGCCAGGGGGATCATGTAAGTCTAACGCGTCAGAAAAATGGTAGCGATTTGTTCCAAAAAATAGTAGAGAATATATAGAAGTGGTCAGCTGCATGATGTGTTTCTAAGACACAGCAGATGCTGAAGGATAATTATCCACAGCCCAGGTTCGATTCCATTGTATCAGATTCACAGTACTTGCCAATGAACTTCAGCAGGGCATGTATCTGTGCTCCATGTGTGAGGTTCCCATTGATTTCAACAGGAGTAATGTGCAAAGAATGAAGACAGAATATGGTCCAAAGTGGTGCTGAAATACTGCAGCTGTGATGTGTGACAATAACCATTTTATAACAGACATAAAAATCTCAGAAGTGTTCACCTAATACTACATTGCAGCCCAAGTCATCAGCATCTTAACATGAGTACATTTCTTCAGCTATGTTATGGAAAATTTACAGATTGAACAAGCTAAGAAGACAGACAACTCAAATAAAGCCTCAGACTGACACTCTCTGGACAGGTAGAGCAAGGTCACTGAAATCAAAAATCACGATCTCTAGGTTATTCTCGGTACAAGCCACCATTGATGACAATGACAGAGAGACCTTTGATCAAAGGCTGTTATATGTGTTTCCTTCAGGAAAAAAACAAACAAAAGAGATATGTAACTTACTTGCAAGTGAAGGAAAGGCCCTTGTTCCTGCTGCATCTCTTTGCACATTGCTCTGTGGTATTTAACAGCTTCGTTTTTACTTCCAGTGTTTTGTTTACTTTAATGAGCATCAACTCTCCTGTTTTTTTGAAGTCATGAAGAGGATTTCTCTTTTTGCCTTTACCCTCTAAAAAAAGAAGTGAAGAATAATAAGAAAAAAAACCACAACAAAATAAAATATTGTTAAGAAGAATGCTGAGATTAAGGATGGCATTAGATACAGATAACATTTTCTAGGAATTATAACATCTTCAGAACCTAAAGCATAGAGAATCACACAAAAACAGGATATGAGCATATACTGCAGATGAATTGATTATTTTAGGGAATTACTTCCATTTTTAAAACCAAAATAGTAGGAAGTATAGCAAAACCAGTTTCAAATATAGACTTGTGTAATACTGTAAAAGGGTAAAAGGAAAATTTCTCACCCTTTGTAAATTTTTTCAGAACCTGCAAAATATGCCCAATAATTATCTGAGATCTTGTGAATATTTCCATGAAAAGATCAAGTGAAAAAGACCATCATTTCATGAATGCAAAAAGCAGTCCTTAAACAATACATTTATCACAAATTGTGAACAGAAATGGATTCTGGAAGTGACACAAAATGATCATTTGTCATCTCACTGCTCCAGTGAAGTCTCAGTGTGTGTTGCGTCCAGTTTGAGTGTGACTGTACTGGCGTTGTTAGCTCACAGAAAAGATTATAAGGTCAAACAGAGGCCATAGCATGGAAACAGTCTGCAGTGTTGCAAAGATTCCTGCAAAAATGAGCACAGTGATCTTGTTTCCATGTCTTTATTGAAAAGCCCAGAGGAAGAGGTATCAAATGGAGGGAGGAAGATTGGCTAGAGATGTTTGGCTAAAGTGCAAGTGGAAAGGTCTTTGATGTCTGCAAGAAAATTCCAGAATTTTCCCAATATTTATTTATATTTTTACTTTGCATTCCATGAAAGCCAGTCTACCAGTGAAGGCTATTCCATTGTCTCTGAAGACAGATGAGCACATCTGGACAGTAACTGTCCCTATTCCGTCAGATGAGTAACATAGACAGAATAAATTGCCCTGTGGATCTATTTCTCCCATTTCACTCAGTGATCCCAGACGATCTTTTTGGATTAGATGGCTTATCCACGTAAGGTTAGGTGCATAAATTCCTCCTTAGTTTACAGAGTAGATATTTTCCGTAACTTCTTTCCATGTAACTGTATTCACAGCTGTCCTTTCATTTTTCTCTACAGACTCTGCAACAATAATAGAACACAAATGCTCAGGTTCAATTTATTAAATTTTGCCAGAGGTTTTCCAATAGATAAAACCTCAGCCTAGTGCTCCGCATAGATCCTCATGCACATGCAGAGGGCAGTCAGGCCAGTAAAATTTTGCTTGGTGCACTCTGTAGAAGCTCAGAATAACTGGAAATTGCAATAGCTGAGGCTCTGGAGGAGTTACTGCCGGCTCCACGTACTGGAAACCCAAAGACAGCTTAGGAGTGTTCCCTGTGCAGAACTTCCATCCTGATCACTGAGTTCACATTTTCACTGGATTCAGCTAAATCACACCTCTCAGTGGTGAGTTATCCTTAAAACATCTAGAAATATAACAAAGACATTTGCATTAGATCTCATCTAGCTTCAGCTTTTAAAAAAAGATGAAAAAGGAACAAATATCCCTGCTATAAAAACCCTATAATCTTCCCCCAATCCTCCTTTCTTTCTTTTTGAACTGCTGAAAGTAAAGTATGCTACTCCCCAGCATCTAACAACTCACAATTTTAATCCCAATCACAAAAAATTAAAAAAAAAAAGGAATTTATTTATTTTAATATAACTATTATTATTATATGAAGAAGCTTTTGATCAAAAAATCAAATGCTAATAATTTTGGCCTTGTGTTAGGGACCCATATCAGCTCTCTTAAGCATTTTCAGCCTACTATTTGTGCAGTGCACATGCACCCAAAATGCATCACTGCTTAGAGAAATGTTATGGTAAAGTTCTCATCCTAAGGATCTGCATCCTGTTACTGGAAATGGTTGTGTCTACATTGAAGCTGCTTTTTTGTTATACCTGTGATAGTACCAAAGTGCTTCAAAAAGGATTGCATTTACTCCTTAAGTCAACCACAGAAAAACAAATCTTCCAAAAAGCTTTTGTGGTGTATTTCTCAATCTATTATCTTCCAAGACATACTCGTTAGTTTTATATTGTCTCAGCCAAGACTTTTATGTCAAGTAATGGTAAGAATTTGTAGAGAAATATCAAAGTGTTTTCTTTCAGTTCCTGATACTAACATTTCCCATCTACTGATAAGTGTCATTATCTTAATTCCCAAGACAACAGCTTCTTAAACTCACCAGCCAGCAAGCAAGAATATGATTTAAAAAATCAAGAAATTCTGTTCTGCCTGAAAAATATGGTACAGAGTTCTGCTTTTTCTTTTTGTCCTTCTTTTCCTAGCAGTTGTCCAAAGAGGATTATGGGTTTGATCTTGCATTTAGCAATTCATAACAGCCTGATTTAGTTTAGCTTTCAAACAACAACATTCTATGTCTTGCCTATAATCCAAAAGGCAAAGGGCCAAGTGCATCTGTGGTGTGACTGTTAGAAACATCAGAATAATGCAAAGCACTACTTTAACAATTCTCCCAACAAAATATATAAAAACACTATTATTTTTGTGTCAAATTAGGTGCCTTTATTAATAAAAAAGTTAACTCAAACAGTGTCTTAGACATGCTCCATATTAAAGGTTAGCATGCAGTATGCATATAATGCAACTAATATGTGATTGCCATTCATTTCAATTTTTTAAACTTTAATTGATCAGGATTTCTTCTCATTTTGTGGGCCATGTCCTCTGATGTTTCCTGTAGTTTCATATCACATTACCAGGGAAGTCTGACATTCCACTTAAATTTGAAAATATTAGCAGCTGATTCAAACACAAAGGAATCCAGTCAAATACGAACCAACATTTTTTTCTTCAACAGAAACAACCACTAACTAAAAATATTTCTTCAGTCAACCTAAAAAATATCTTTAAAAGGTGAGGATGGTGCCTTTTTCTGTTTCTTAACATGAAGTTGACCAGAAAAGAAAAAAGCTCAGTCAGTGCCCAAGGAAATGGGAACTGACACAACTGTTCTAACAGGATGCAGCACTGAACAAGTGCTCCATAACCTCAAAAGGATTTCGATAGTCTCCCTGCTGGTTTTCCCATTTTCATAAAAGACTTTAAATATTTACTTAAGAAAAGAGGTACCTCACAAGGAAAGACATTTACCTTGCAGCTACAATAACTCACCTTTCAGTTCCCTTACTAGATTTTCAAATGAGGTTTCTGTACAGTCTTCTCAGACAAGAATCATTGACTGAGACTGCTATAGGGCACCTGGAGGAAAAGATTTCCAACAATACCTTTTCTTGGAGCAGTTCCAGTCCATGTCAAATAATCTCAATAATCAGAGATAAAGAAAACTGACATTCTACAGCATTTTCGTAAGAAAACTCACCAGCAAGTTCCAGTGCCTGTATTCTAGAACCTGCTTAACTTTAATTATCTTAATACAAAACACAACCAGTAACACAGAGAATTGTGAGCAATGGAGGCCACAGTATGCAATGACATAGAAAGACAGTTTCTTGATTAATGAGAGAAACTGGTTTGAATCAGCAAAGGTGTTTGTATGTTGATCTTTCTCTCCAGGTATTCTGTAACCACTGGACTGATAGACAAATTACAGCAGTATAACTTGTTTTCTCCCTTCTGGCCTTGTGTCCCACACCAAAAAAGGGCTTTGGGCTCCCAAACCACTGCATCTCTCAGTTCTACCTGATTATGTTCTCTCAGTAACTACCTGATTATGTTCCACATCTCAAAACTTACACCTTGCAGAATACAATTGGTCTGATACTGAGCTATATGAGAGCACAGAAATTCAGTAGTTTTAGATTTTTTAGTGTTCAAATTTTGCACTCTCATGTCTTAGTCTGATCACAAAAAGCATTTGGTTTTGCATTATCTATTTAGTAGTAAAAACCTACCACAGCAAGAATGATAACATTTCTGTGGTAATCAAAATAGCACACAGAGTGTCATAGGGTCCAAAGATCACCTTTGTTCATTACAATGAGATCAAAACTTGACTTGTGTTACTTACAGCAAAATTTTACAAGATTACCTGAATTTTTCTGCTTCATGGTAATCCCTTTCTCCTTCCTCTACCACTACAGCTTTTTCTAATAAAGATGTACATTTTAGGCTGCAAAGCCTTACAGAGAACAACTGGAGCATACTGGCTGCCTCCTCTGGAAAAATCTCTACTTCTATGGACTTGTTACAGACAAAATCTTATATGAAATTCCAGTTATGATGCACTCAGCATGTCAGCTTCCATGGTTTCCAAACTGCACTCTAGTTTATGCAAAAGTTGGTAGTTTATTAAAGAAACACGTCTTGAAGTCTCCTGATAATGTAAGAAAACTTACTCCTTTTGTTTCTTTTTAATTTTGCATCCCACTTTGTTATACAGAACAAAACCATCCAAACTAAACACCATGTTTTCCAAATGGGAAGATAAATACATTTAAATTAAATGTTTATGTTTTAATTCAGATTCTTAATGAAAAGTTGGTGGTTTTTGATTAAGTTTTATTTCCCTTTTCTGTTTGTTTAGACTTGCAGAACTTGAGAACTTTAATAATTATTTGCTTTGTTGAGCTAAACTTTCAAGTATGTGGGGACCTTTTATAACTTCCAGTTTTTAAAGAATATAAATACTCATCAAAGAACATCACTGTTCTTTGTTTGTCAGATGTCAGAAATAAACTAAATCTATTGGAAAATAAATGAAGAAAATGAAGATACCTGAATTCCTTAGGTTAGCAGATGCTGTCAGAGAACTGCAGGAATCAGCTGCAGTCCTTCCAAATGGAGAATGAAATACAAAATAGCATGACATGAGGAGAAATATTGAAAATAGGGAAATTGTCCACATGCTGTGCAGGAAGCACAGAGAACCTGATGACTCAAAATATATTCCAGTGAAGAAAAATGGTCATATAAAGTGACACAATTATTTCAGAAATATAAACCAGACATAGATGCTGTTGTTAGTTATCAACTGGCATACTAGATCTCTGTTTAATATTTTGCATCATATTTGTAATGAAATTAAGTCACTTGACCTTGAGCAGTTAACAGCTGGACTAATTAGAGATTGACTTATTTGTGTTATAATTGATAGCCAGATCATAATGCGAAAAGGAGATTAGCTATTAATGCAATTTTGCAAACAATTATCACTGCAAGATAAAGAAAACTGGATTTTCCCAATGAGCTAGCAAAAAAAAAAATATGAGAGAGGAATATCATGTGATTTAAAACTTGGGCACAGGGGGTGGGAAATCAGAAATCTACCATCATATGAAAGACCTTTAGTTAAAAAAAAAAAAAACAAAACAACTTTAAACACACCTTAAATGAATGTAGGAAAGCACAGTTCAATACAGTAAACATATCAAACATTTCTTCAGGGGACACCATACTTGACAAAAAATGCATGGTAACTCATATTCACAACTTTCTGAATGGGAAAAAAAAAGTGCAAAGCAAAAATCTGCAAAACAATGTATTATCACAGTGTCAGATATATCAAAGCAGAATGCTTATCTCAGTATAAACATTGACAATTTAATAAGAAAATTACAAACAAAGTATGTTTATGTGCATAAAACAGAATTTGGCAGAATTTGTGTAACAAGCAAAAATCAGTGAGTGGGGTTTGAAAAGCAAGCAACAGCTCTCATCATATATGGGTTGAAACCAGTATGCAAATACAGTGAGGTGTTTAACTTGTCTATAAAATATGATAGAAAGGATAGTTTTAATTATATTCAATAAAGTATTTCCAAGACAATGCTTCTTAAAGGATATAAAACATCAAGGGTAAACTAGTGTGTGCCTCAGTATGATAGCATAAATATACTGGCTTCATCAAGAAAAAAAGAAACAACAAACAAACCCAATCTTCACCAGATGGCGAAAGTAGATGTTACTAAATGCTTTTGGATACAACATGCTAAGTTACAGTGTGGTCACAAAAATAAAAGAAAGGATGTTAAAGATGAATGTTGATTCTAACATCATTAATAGGGTCATCACAGTATTGTAATCTGTGTGAACAGTTTGAAAGCACTGTTTCAATAAATACATTAAACAATTTTGTCTCTTAAATCAAGTCATAACAGAGTTACCCTGACAAAAAGAATTAGTGGTCAATAGTTTTAACTTTCATGTACTTTGACTTTTCCTTCTGCTGTTTCAGTATCAGAAATATCCAGATTCCTGGCTAGAATGCAAAAAGTGAACACCTTTTCCAAATGACTTCTCATTTAGGGGGAAAAGGAAAAAAAAAAGGAAGAAAGGCAGACCAACATAATGAGAAACTGGAACAATCTGAGTTGTGCCCAAGAAAACAACTTTGTAGATTGGATAGGCTTAAAATGCCAGATTAAGTTTAATGCAGTTATTTATGTAAGACAATAATTTGGCGTAAAAGAAGTTTACCAACCATACCCGTAAAATCTGCAGTCAGCTGTATGGATGGAAAGTCGCCAAAATAAAAGCAGCTGTCCAAGGAGGCATCTCTAGCTTGTCAAAACTAAACAGTTTCTCAGAAGTACCTGGAGGATGATGTGAATATTTTAACTTCTGACATTTATTTTCTTGGCACAAGAGCCTTACGGGGAAAAAAAACCCACACAATTTTTAGAAAGTAGTTTGAAAGATATATAACTATCCATACAATATCTATATATAATAGATAATGATTGCCGTATTTCTACATTGGCTCTCAGTCTAGTTGTTGAGCAGATTCAGGAAATGCAAAAAGATATTTCTTTTTGCCGTAACATTACCACTCACACCACACACCCACACCCCCTTATTAGCAACTGCAAAGACTGCCATGTAACTCGGAACCCAACTTCATGTTTATGCTAAGTCCTGCCTTTGGAACCCACTCCTATGGTCACCATGAAAACTCAAGGAGCTAAGGATAATGCTAACAACTGATATTATATTCTAGAATTGGATGGTGGCTTCAAATGGACAGATCTTTTCCTTCCAAGAAAAGGTTATCTGCTCAGCAGGATGCTGGGACCCATTGGCAGAAACAAATGTGCAGCAATTTGTACTCTTACTGTATCAAACTTCTGGCTAAATTACTGAGAGGATTTTCTGTTGTAAGATTTGTCATTGTGGGCAAGTATTGAATCCCCACCATTTTCCATTGCGTTCCACAATCTTTACAAGCACTTGGTGCCTCCTTCGAGGTAGCCAGCACGTTGTGCCCTTCCTTTGTGATGGTGTCCCAGCCAACCGGAATTCCGGGCATGCAGCAAGGGGTAAGGAGAAAAGCACAAGTAGACAGGGCAGGGATTGGGCAAAACAAAGAATGACAGATGGCTGAGGGCAGCAAAACAGCCCCTGTGAGGAGCGATGAGAGCCTTGCTTCATGTTGTATACATAAAAATAGTGCTGCTGGCCAAGGAAAAGCTGGAGCTCAGGGGGGACAGAGGGAGCAGCCAGTTCCCAGCTGGGCCAGCAGCACCGAGAACTGCCAGGCACGGCTGGGCTCATCAGACAGCACATGGGTGGAGGCCCACAAGCCACTGAAAACTACAGCTAGATTTTGCCAACACATTTGACTAATCTGGAGCGTGTTCCCAGCTCTGCTTCACCACAGTGCTGTTTTGCATGTAGGTACTAACCACCCTCGGGAACAGCTCTTCAACCCTCTGGGCACTGCCACAAAAACTGACAGGAGAATATGGGGTAACAGTGAGGCTGCCCTCACCCCTTCTTCTCAGTTTTTTTAGCTGCCATACTTTCTCCACAGCAAGTTTCAAATTTTGCTTGCATTATGGCACTTGTCTTACTACCCTTGCTTCCCAAGTAAGCATGAATAACAATCCTTTGTCACCTCCATGATCAATCCATTCTCACCTCTGTGCTGCCTTCCAGTCTCTGCCATTCCACCCCATCTTAATGCTGATGGAGAGAAAGTGAAATTCCAACACTCATCCAATACAAGTAATTGTAAAACATTCAGGACAATGTTTTTTTTTTTCTCCACATTATGCTTTTACTCAAAAAGAGGCCCAGTTATCCTGGTTTTAAACCTCCTTGGAAAAGTTTGAAATGCTTAAGTGGCAAACTAATGTTCAGCATAAAGATCCAAAAGGGAGATATTCTGCTCTCTGAGGGAGACCCATTTCCCTTCCAACCCTGGCCTCAGCTGAAGTATTACAATAATGACAGATGAGCTCCTCCAATAAGAGGCTTTCCTTTCCTTGACTTCAGTGGTCAATTTTCCAGAGTTTTACGCAACATTTTAATCTCATGTCTTTCAACTCTATATTCTCCTGCTATGTTGCTTATGAAAATGGCATTAATAGAAACGGAAAATCTGTTAAGCAGGGTAAGTGCTGTATTACATGTGAGAGCAAAACAAGCAGCCCCTGGCATTGAGCACCAAAAGGATTCCATTAAACAGAAGGAATACACTCTTCCAACTGGCACAGTATCATTTCACTTTGTTGACAGTATATAGTATAATGATTATCTACAGCTGGGATGGCAAAGTATAAATCACATTAATTTTTAAAAATATACTTAGCTATGCAGACCACAGGAATACACAACATTCAAAAACTGATTATGGCTATGGGATTTGATTTTTTTTTCTTTAAGTGATAATATATATAGGAACTAAGAGCAACTCCCACATCTTCATTAGCAACTTCTTCAGATCATCCAAACTACAGAATATGCTTTAAATAAATTTGAATAAACACACTTGGCTGACAGTCCTCTCACAGAAAAATGTATCTTTAATTTAAATAAATCTTTAACATTCACTCTTTTGCAACATGCCAATCTACTTGTTGCTTTGATTAAAGCGTCATTTTTTGTTTCACTAGCTGAACATTATTAAAGAGATGCTTCCCATACTGAATAATAAGAATATTTCATCAAGAAAGAAAACTCCTTGATAAAGTTATTAGCTACAGATTAATTTCTTTGTGCAAGTGACAGAGACTTACAGGATATTGATAATGACTAGGCAAGCAGTCTATAGGAACCATGCACATTTATCTTTCATCAATCACAGTCTTATCTTTTATATATTAGAAAGAAACTCAGAAAGTGATAGCGTAGACAGCTTGCTGACATTTAAATTTCTTGTGTTTTCTTCACCCTCCTTTTTCTTTACCCCTTAATATAACCCAAATGTATTAGTCAGCAACTTCTGTTACACAGGACATTGTCTTTGCACAGAACTTTGGGCATTGGGTTACAAACCCAGAATATTTCTTCACAGAAGAAGCTAAATTCACCATTATGTACACTTGAAATCAGATTTGACAGAACAGTACTAGAAGTATGGATGTGTATTAGCAAAAGATCTCATGTTTTCATTCTGTTTTCATCATTTAGCTTGTTTTTCATCTGAAAATAATCTGATATTTTCATATCTGAAAATAATAATGTAGGCAAATCCTAATCTTTCTTAAAAGCATCCCAGTAAAAAGGATCCAACATCCCAAACAAAGACAACATATATGTTTACAAAGCAATCATTTACAGAAATGGTCCAGACATTTGAATTTTCATAAAGAAGTAGCACAACTTTCCCTTGCCTACAGTGTAAATATACAGACACTCTTTTTGAAGATCACGTATTTTCAAAAACAAGGTAAGCAAAATGGCAGTGTGTGCTAAGAGTCATGTTTCTTGCCAATAAGGCAAACAACAGGATTAATTAATATTATCGAAGGTGGGGGAGGAAAATTAAGAAAGGCAGAGTTGTCAAGAAACTGTCACCATGAGAGCTGGTTAGAAAACAAGTCCTACTCTGAAAAACCCAGAAGTTTTGGAAATCTAATTTTTCTCCTCATCAAGGTGAACAATTCACTCCTCATTGGTTGAGGCACAGCCCTATTCATCAGCCCAGTACTGACACAGGCAGTACAGAAGAGGTCTCTCAGTCTCCCTCTCAAAATATTAGGTAGATCCAACATTCATTGAAGGTGGTAAACTACAGACCAGCACTGAGAGCCTACAGTCAGGGACAACAAAGATTTTCTCTCACTCAAGAAAAGTACCCTGACTTACCAGAAGAACAAAGCATGACCTAGCTTATTATGAGCCTGGCTATAGACTAGTTGAGTACCTTTGGCCCATGGAATAAAGTGTGTGTGTGTGAGTGTGGCTGCAGTGTTTATTTTGCTTTTTTTTTGTTTTTAACTAGCCCATCAGTTGATGAGCTTCCATCACAGGTGAGGGCTTCTCAACAGCAGGTTACCATAAGCTATTGGCAATGTCTCCTGCTGTATATTTCTCTGTCATTTGATTTGAAAGAAACAAACCAAGGAAAGTTTCTCTTTAACAGGAATTATTTTTGTGAAAAGTTTTGATATATCAGCATTTTCCAGTAAAAGAAACCCAAAACATTTTCTTGGAAAATTCCTAACCAGCTCTAGTCATCACTTTTCAGAAAAGCTGCATGTCCAAAAAATGGAAATTCCAATGTACATGGAAAAGGAGTGAAGAAAAGTATAGTATCATAGTGTCTGCATCTCTGTGTCACCTGCTAAAGAATGCCTGTGAAAACAATATCCTCAGTGAGCAGACTGAGCACAGAAGCTGTAATGAGATTGTTCAGCATCCTACAGAACGACACTCTTCCTTGCAAGGGGAAAAACAACAGGTTTTACTACATGTGATGCTGCCAGTCTGTTTTTGACTTGCCCACTCAGATCACAAAATATTCCACTTTGAAACTCCATTTCAGAATATTTATTTTTTTAACTAGAAAGCAGTTACGTCTTGGAAGCCTCAGCATTCCTTGCTCCACTGTGCCTGATGCCCTCAGATATTGCCCCAGAACCCAGCTGCACCGTTCCCTGCCCTTGCTTTGCCTGCTCCTGGCAGATTCTTTCCCTGAATTGTGCCTGTCCTTTGTTTCTGTCTGTGCAAAGGTCTGACCCTAACAATGTTGCCGGAAGGAAGGAAAGGTTTGTTGAAACCTTTACAAACTTCTTTCCTTAAACGTCTTCCCAGAGGGCCAATAGAAAGCACAGAGTTGGCTCTTCAGATAACCAGTCCAGGGGGGACACTTCAGGAAAGAAATTCAGCTAAAGAGCATCCAGCACTTGATTACTTATTGTTTGTTCCTTGCCCCCGCCTCCATCTCCCGGATTTCAGCGGGAACATCTAATGAAATTACAAGTATTTCAGTCTGGAAATAGCACGTTCATTCTGTTGAACTTCAGCAAGAACATTCCCGTTCAGCAATGCACTGTCCCGTGCCTTGGGTATTCCTTCTCAACTTCTGCTATTCAACATTTATCCTACCACTGGAAATTAAGGATACACGGTCGCGTCCTGATAACGGCCGGGAGCACCTCTGGCCAATGATGAGATTTTCTTTCCCCTCTCTCCCGGTTTCCAGCTCCGCCAGTCCTGAGCGAGCCCCGCGCCCCACTCACGCACGGTGCAGGCGCTGCGAGCGGCGGCCCCTCGGCAGCCCCCGGGACGGGACCCGCCTCCCGCCGGGCTGCGCGGCCGGAGCGCGGCCGGTCCCGGCCGCCGCACGCTGCGCTGCTCGGCTCCGCGGGCTCTGCCAGCCCGCCCGGCCACGCAGGGTGAGGCGCTGCCAGCCCCACCTGCGGGCTGCGACCTGCGGGCTGGCTGCGACCTGAGGGCGCGACCTGCGGGCTGCGACCTGCGCGCTGGCTGCGACCTGAGGGAAGCGACCTGCGCGCTGGGACCTGAGGGCTGCGACCTGCGGGCAGCGCCCAGCGCGCCGCCCCAGCGCCCTCCCGGCCGCGGCGGAGCGGGGAAAGGGGACGTGCTGTGGCTGAGAGGCAGACGGGGGTCGCTAGCGAAGCGATAGGAGAACTGACCTGCCGCGGGGATGGCGGTGGGCAGCAGCAGCAGCTGGTGGAGCAGCAAGGCTGGCAGGAGGTGGGTGGCCCGCATGGTGCTGGCGGCCCCCCCGGCGGTTGGCGGGGAGGAGAAGGGGAGATGGCTCCTCGGAGGGACCCCGTGCACCGCCGGTCACTCGAGGAGGCAGAGTGAGCCGAGCTTTTTATTGCGATGATCTAAGTTTGTTGTGTGATTAACTGGAAAGATCTGGGTCCCAACTCCCTCTTACGGTAAGAAACTGTTTAACAACATCCCCTCTCTGCCTCTCCTTCTCCTCCCCTCTTCAGGAGCTGCCTCCCTTCCCTCCCACCCTTCAACCAGCCCAGGGAGAGGGCTTCCCCCGCCTCATCCCTCCCTCCCCCGCTCCCTCCTTCCCCCCCCGCCTCTCTCCATCCCTCAGAA